ATTCAGTAAGTGTTGAAGTCTACAAAAATAGGAACTTGGTGGGCTGCAGTTAAGGTTGTTTGGGTGAATTTTTACCTTGTAATTTCTTGATTTCAGAACTCCATATCAAATACAAATATTTCTTAGCTATATAAATATATATATATATATATATAAATTCCCTGTTCAACTGTGAATAGATGCTTACTTACATAATTCTAACTTTTGTCTGTTGTAGGTTTTTCTGTTGGAAGTATAAATTTATAGTGAATTTTTCTATAATCTGAAAACTGTAAACCACTGCTTTTTAATAAACTGCTTTCATTAAAAGATTTGTAATGTAGTAGTGCATATGCATATTTATTTAATGAATTACTGTTCTTATTGTTTATTGTTTAAATTGTTTAGGTCTCCCGTGAATAGTCTGCAATTTTTATTTAATAATGTATTAATAACCAGTGTTTAACAATGTGATAATAACAGGAAGGTATGAAAATTGGAGCACTTTGGTAACTTTACTGAAAGAAATGTAACTATGTGACTTCTAGTATTATTTGGGTTATTTTGACAATGCCATTTTGGTTTCTGTGGTGGCAGTGTTTTACACTATGCATATGCACATGGTGGCAGTTGGTAATCTGCCTTTAAAGCATGAAGTTAGACAGGTCCTAGTTCGGTGGTGGTGATTCATTGTGGTGGGCATACTCAGATCTGTGGGAATTGAAAGATTTTGCCCCAAGGATGGGATCAGTGATCACCGGTGTGATGGCAACGTGGACCCTGACCACGCAGTGTGCCAGCTAGCAAACAAGGCTTGGAGTCTTCTGTTAAATGCTTGCTTACCAGTCTGAACTTTTTGCTCTTTATTGTTTGCTCCCAGCTAAGGAAGTGCTTATTTTGTGTAGTTCCTGTCTAGCTTCCAACATAGTAATGTTTCTCATACAAAAGCCATGTCATTGTGCCAGAATTGTGCTGACTCTTTTAAAGACCAAGATTCCATCTAATATTTTTCTAAACTGGCTTGCTTATTTTTCTGTGTTCTGTTACTTTATTTTGGACTTTTAACAAACTTGTTCTTGGCAGGAAAAGGTGAAGCAAAGCCAGATGTGGTTTGAAAATGTCTTGATGTCACAGATACTGAATGAATAGTGTATTTCATTTAAAACAAAAAGATCACTTCAGTGCGTAATGCCCGCCCTCCCACCATTTCCCCCTTCCCCTTATCTGTTGATATTTGTGTCACCTATTTCATAATGAAGGTTACAGGAAATAGTCACCTCAGGTGAAACCTACCTATACTGGCTTGGTGACCATGAAATATCATTCTGCCATCAGAGTCATTAATTCGTTAGAACTCCTTTGTGTTATACAATATAAGCGAATTAATTAAAATTCCTTTAAACACCGGCAAATTCCATCCCTCTGATTTCCATTTCTGTGGAAAAACCTAATCTGCACAGTAACCTCATTATTATTATTAATTATTCTCAAGCGCTATTCTTCAAAGTAATGAAGCAAGGGGGATGTGCAGCTTAGTGATTTGGGAAGCGCGTAGTTAAAAAATTACAGTAAGGAAGTAAAGGTTTGCCGACCAATTATTTCTGTATTTTAAAAATATTTTCAGAAGTTGTTTAAAATTTTAGTTTCTGCATTTTTCTTTTTCCGTAAATAGTGAACCCAAGAGGGCCTTTGCAAAGTATTTTTCAGAAAGTTTATGAATTGTGACAAAACCAAGATACATGCATACTGTTTTTTCTCAGTGTGTTCAAAAGGTTCTGCAGTTTTGTTAAAGCTTAACCCTTGTATTTTATTCTAGAACTTCACTATCTGAGTAAACCTGAAATACATACAGAATGATTGTAAGATGCAGTAAATTGAGGCAAAAGTACCCGTGTATAATGTAGTATCAGAATAATTATGTAAGCTTCAGAGGTTATTGTACATGTATATATATGGTTTTAAGGTACGGTATAAAATTGTTACGCAGGCTGTTTTAATTTCTGAAGATGTGCGCTTTTCTGTATGGAATTTTCAGAGACATCTGAAAGCTGCTGGGCGTTCTTCACAGCTGCGTTATGTTCAGAGGCTTACATTCATTCTAGGATTGAATAAAAACAATCTCTTCTCTTTTGCTTCCATTTGATCAGGGAGGTCTGTTTTTTGGCAAAAATCATTGCCACTAGTTAAAAGATGTGATGAGCATTCTGTATGTCAGATCCCATTCCAGAACTCTGTTTCTCAAAGACATTTTGATTTGATATTAATGATAACCCTTATCAGTAAATTATAGTAGCAAATTTCCGCTTTTTCTATTAAATTATGTTACAATGACATTAAATAAAATGTATAGTTTTTATTCCTGTGCTGCGATTTTTTTTTTTTTTTAATTATTAGGAAGCAATAATTGATTCAGGTGTTGAAATGATCTTAAACTATGATAACTGGACAATAACAAATAATTGACTTCCTTTGTTGTAAATTAATTCTTGAATTACTTTGTTGTGTACGTAGCATGCCCTCTAACCCATGGTCCTGACAGTGACAGGAAGGAATTTGTCTGTTATCTGCACATTTTTTGTTCTGTCCGTCTTCAGAGTAACAGTTAAAGCCCTTGAGAACAAAGAGTAGTAACAGAATTAAAAAAAAAAAAAAAAAAAAAAAAAAAGGCACTTTGTCATAGTAATGTCCCTTATAGGAGCAGGGTTAACTAGTTGCTGTTCCAATTTTTTGAGGTACTAGAATTTTTCAAGGCCAAGTCAAATGTTGTGGCAACAGTCCCTTTTATTCAGTGCGAAGGTAAATGAAAACAGGCATGAAGATGGAGTTAAGGTGGCAGGCTGCAGTTTTATTAGCTTGAGAAGGAATAAGATTTTTCTGTTCCCAGGTTCTGTTCTGTATATCACTTGAGAAGGCTCAGAAGAAGGATGAGGCGTTGCTTTCCACGTACCATCCAGTGCCATGCAGGTTGTTTTCAGCCTAGGCCTAAAGTTCAGTTCACTCCTCCGGATCTTGCTGCTCCTTCCCCTTTAAAGGAGGAAACAAGCAGCATGTGCGAGGCAATGTCACTGCAGAAAACTGTGCTTTAAAAAAAAAAGTCAAGGTTTTCTTTGTGGTTGTACTGTAAAATATGAAGGTCCCCTGTACGATTCAAAAAGTTACAGCATGGCAGTCCTCTGTTAATACCTGATAATAAACATAGCTAGGAAGACAGCAGGAGGGGGAACCTGGGGTAATTTTTTTGGAATGCCATGTTAGTGAACAAGTGCTCTCCTGATAAATAGGAAACAGTAGAGGATTAAAGCACTAAAACAGGGGAACATTGAGGAGTTTTCTTCCACTTTGAAGCAGTTAATAACATTCATTCAAATAGGGAATGCTCTGATTTGATGACAGAAGTGAAGGAAAGGAGAAGCTGAGGTACTGCTGCCTCTAACTGCCATCGAAACCTGGTAAGAGAAAGCAGAGCAGTTGTAGAGTAACTTAGACGTGAATAATTTTGGTTGGGGTGCTCAATTCAACCGTACTGCCATTTGGGTCAGCAGGGCTGCTCTCAGTTACTGCACTCATAGGCCATTGCTGTTGTCTTGATAGAGGATGCAATAATGAAACCAACTTCTTGTTGGAAGCAATGAGGTGAAGCAAAGTGGAAGCTGACAAGGGGAATAGAGCACACTAAATTTCAGCTTGCATTGCAGGAAACAGGAACAAAAATAAAAATGATCAAACTTTCCTACTGATGACAGTTTTGAACTTAAGCTGTGCCTCTGCACAGCAAACTGATGAGTCTAGAACTGTGAAGGAAGTTAAAAAGATCTTCAGGCTTCTGCCTGTTTGTTCATAAAAGCGAAGAATTGCTTTATGGCCCTAAAGAGAGGAGTCAGATCGTTGGTGCTCTGGAAATATATCTGCTATACTTTGGCTGCTTTTCCCTCTATGTGGTTTAAGGAAGTAAGCTTCAACATAAGCTTTGAAGGATCATGGAGGAGGTTTAAAATAGCAGCAGTGAAGAAGTGAGAAGATCATTAAGTTCCGTTTCCTCCATGTATCCTTGCCATCAGTCATCTCACTTTCAGCCTGGGTACATTCCTCTTCCTTCCACTTAAAACAGGTGACCGTTCCTCAGGTCAGGTTGTCCGTCTGCTGGTACGAGTAGATGGCATTTGTGCGGTTTCTGATGATAAGAGATGTTTGTTCTGCAATGCTGTTTAAACATTTCTCTGAACTCCATTAATTCGGTTGAACACTGGCATGTATTATTATTTTATGACTCGAGCTCACATTAGTATTACAATACCCCATTTTTCATACTGTGGTAGTTAAGGAACAAAGCTCAGTAACATTACTTCCTACTGATTTTACTTTGTGTCTGTGTGCTTAAAATGAGAAATAAAGAATAACTGGTCAAAAATCAAAAGCTTTTGTTCTGTGGGTACAAGCACTCACTTGGGAGATTGGAATCCATCATTGTTATCTTATATGTACTCATATCAAATCCATTCCTGAAGTCTTCATCATTTTTATAGGCAACATTCTCTTATGATTGATTGAGATCTAGGAAATACAGCTCAGTTTGAAGTTACCCAAAGAACTTTTTTTTTTTTTTTTTTGTTTAAAGAAATTAAAATATAATCCTTGTTGGTTGTTTCCTCTAAACACTATGATCATTTGCAGATGTCTAGCTGTGTATCAGCTGGATCTCTGAGTGTATTAGATGAGCTTTGGAATCTGTACTTGGTTCTGTTTGTAAGTATTTCCTCAGCATATTGAGTCCTGCAAATAATTACTTTTTATTAGACCAAATAAATTTTACTTGAATGTTTGCTCTTTTATACGCAGTCTGTTCCATTTTAAGATTCTAAAGGTTAGCACTAGTTTTATTTTGCATAATAAAAACATTGGCTTAATTTGCTGTCTCACTGTAGGATTACATTTATTCATTTATTTTAATAAAGACGTGTAGCTTTTCAAAGTAATCTTTCTGATGGTTCAAAAAAATGTACCTTTTCTTTTTCTCTTCTCAGATTTATCCAAGAATAGATTAACAGAGGTTCCTACGGAGTTGTGCCATTTTGTGTCACTGGAAACACTAAATTTATACCACAATTGTATTAAAATTATACCAGATGCCATAGTAAACTTGCAAATGCTAACTTACTTAAATTTGAGGTAAGTTTAACTCTGCACATTTTTTGTTTATTTGCAAATGTGTAAAACTTTTTTGTCTGCACTTTATGTGTTCCTGGAACAACTGATTACATTCTTCATTTTATTGGAAGCGGTAATGCAAAACCTCATTGGCTGGAGATACAGCTCTGTATGAAGGCATTGTGAAGGCCAAAATGTAAAACTAATTATTTAAAGAAAGCAAGTAATATGAATCCCCTTATTTCCCTTTTTCTCCTAGCAAATTCAAAATGATAATCATATCAGCACAGTTGGATTCTTTTAATTCCCTTCTGATAATAAATTTTATGAAACTTGCCATACTTTTTGTAGTTAAAAAGATGGAGGGACAGAGACAGAGGATCAATGTTTTATTTTTTTTCATGAGGAATGGAGAGGAAAAGCATGATACTTTATCCACTTGTATCCTCTCATGCAAGAAGTATAGGAAGAAGGGGCAAGGAATTAGGCAACTTTGTCTCTTTTCAATGAAAAGTGTGTGTGAATGCTAATTTGTAAAGAGAGTTGCTACTGGTTAAAGTGCAGGTGAACTCATATTTGCTTTTTAGAGAGGGCACGTCACTACTTTTTCAGTTGAGACAAGGTGTGGAGGTTTCTTTGCAGGTGAGTATGTAAAAACTGTAATAATGAAGATATAATGATCTGGTCTTTTCAAGAATGAGGTTTGAGCATGGGCAAAGTGGCTCTTGGGCTTTTAAATTCAATGTATGAAGGCTTGATCGTCAATTTTGTAAACAAGCCTTCCTGAATTGTTACTGTACTGCAGTTTTGTCCACCATGGAACAGTAACTTTGGCTCTGCAAATTGAAACAGAATAAGTGTCGCCTGAGTATTTGCACACATGTAGGGAATAGGACTTGAAATTTTGAAATAGTGTTTTTTAGATATACATAAAGTAATTAACACTGGAATGAATTATTAAATTAACAAAACATCGTAGTAAATTTAGGAATTAGAATGAACTCAGAACTCAATGTAGTGAACTAGTGAATTAGTTCTCAATGTAGTGATGGGATTTGTGTGACTCATCACAAAAGCAGAATAGTTACAGAGTTAATAATCACGTATCACAGTAAATTAGACAAAATAAAAGGAAATTTGTCAAGTTTAAGTAATGTCATTTCCCTCAGTTTAAGATCTCTGGATGTGCCCTTCCCCCACGGTAAATCAACAGTAAGTCTGTAGAAGAAGGAAATATATCCTTGACTTTCTAACCACGATGCTTCTTGGCAAGAAAAATATCATAGATTTAAAATACATATTTTTCTGCCTGTTACCAGCAGATCCTGTGTGCTAAACAACATTAGAAAGTCATGCCAAGAGATATACGTAGTCTCTGGGCCTTGGTGGATACTGTTCGTGTTTTATTTAAAGAAATGCCTTTTAAAATAATGAGGATTTATTACTCACTCTGGTTATGTGCTGTTCCTTATCTCCTAGCGGGTTGCTTCAGAGTTCTGTAGAACTTAAAAATTATTTTTACTTGTTGTTTTTTTTTTTTTTTTTTTTTTTTTGCATTTGATCTGATGCATAGGGTAACTTTTTTAGATTCTAGACTTCCTCAGTTTGAATTCCTGAGAACGTTAAAATATTTCTACTTATTTTTTAAGATTAAGTTGGTTTTTGGCCCTTCTGTAAGGGGACTAGAATTGAGAATCCTGGCTCCACAATATTCATTGATTCTTTTTTTTCAACTGCTGCTGGTTAGTAGTTGCATTTCTCATTTTAAATATCCTTGGGTTTGTGATTTGACACTTGTCTGTCTCCCAGCCTGTGTAAGGGATATGGTGATAGTTTTATTTGTAAAATGTTTTGAGACTGTTTTGTGGAGCAAGAATATACGTCTTTATACGGAGCATTGTAGCAGACCACTGGATTGGCAGTTGAAGAAGAAATGTTTTGAGACTTATGGAATTTTGATTTTTGTTTCCTTTTAGTTCAATTGAACGTTGCAGCTCTTACTGAAATTACACAGGACAATTTTTGCCATCTGTTTTCAGAGTTCAGTCATGCATATTTCTTCTTCAGAGCCTTAACAATCATACAGAAGCTAACTAGAATGGTTTTTACTGGGATGCCACTTTAAGTTACTGTTCATTGTATTCTTACAGGTTAATACCCATAAAAAAAGAAAAAGTAATATTTAAAAAAAACCTTCAAATATTCTAAGAAAGACGGTAGTTAATAAATTGTTCTGTTGAGCTTAAAGTTTATTCTGGGAATTGATCCACAAGTCACATGAAATTAATACTTTTAATCATCACAAAGGGTTATGACATTTGTCGTCTTTAAGTTCTAGCATCTTGACTAATTGTTACTAAAATGAGAACCTAAATCTCTTGAAAGTTTTCTACCAAATTTTGCCTTTCATTGCAAATCCTCTTCATGAAAATCTTCTCGCTACTTTTTTTTTTCCCTTCTTTTTTTTTTTTTCCCCCAGAAATGTGGCATGAAAAATAACATGGCCCATGTCAGTCATTTAAAAAAATTGTTTTAGCAATTTTAGGAAAAAGTAATAAACAGAGATAAAATGGCTCAATATGAGTCTTGGAAAGAAATGAACCATTGATGGTCCCAGAATTTTTTTCTGTAGTTACCTGGGTTAATATCACAGAATCATAGAACAACAAGTGCCAAGTAATCTTCAACTATAAGTGTGCTTTAAAGGAATTGAGAAAATAACCATTTTATCTCTAATTTATTTATTTGTGTTTCAGTTGGAACAAAAGACATCCACTATACTGTGCCATAAAACTGTAGGAATGTTTAAATACTTGCTTAAAAACTTGTCTCAGTTGACTTTCCTGTATTCATTAGGAGGGGAAACAGCCGTTCTAGGTGACAACCAGACTTGTTACAATATTATTAAACTGATATAATGCATTTTTTCCAAAACGGTAAATTCCACAATACCATTCAGTCCGTAATGCAGATATTTTTGATGTGCGAGTGTTTTCTTCAAGATTGCCATTTGAAAATTTTAAATTTATCTGCATAAAATCTGACCCATGAAAACAAAGGAATTTTACAACTCTCAGACTTTATGTGAGTATGCAGTAGAACGCCACTGGTGGTTTTAATGGTTGTTTTTTTTGTTTTTTTTTGTTTTGTTTTGTTTTGTTGCAGTCGAAATCAGCTTTCTTCTTTGCCAGCTTGCCTGTGTGGTCTTCCTCTAAAAGTCTTAATTGCAAGTAACAATAAGCTAGGTTCCCTTCCAGAAGAGATAGGTCAGCTAAAACAGTTGATGGAACTGGTATGTTACTGATCTTTTTTTATTTTGACTTCATTTGTGTTTAACTAGAAACACTAAAATTCACTTTGCAAATATATTTGAACAAATGCCTAAGACTATAATGTGGGTTAAAAAATTAACTTTTGAACGTCTCAAGTATGTTGGGTAGTAATACAAGAATAGTTTCCTTTGTGTTCTTCAAGACCCTTCTAAACATCATCACAGCCCTTGGTTCATTCACAACTCAGCTTCCAAGTTCGTCATCTACCAGTTTTACTCACTGCCTGCACTGGCTCCCTGTTTTGCTGTATCAGATTCATAGTTTTGGCATCAGGCTCTGCAAATCTGTATCCCCCTCTGTAGCTCCTTCCCCTCCTGCTTCCTTTCTCTCAGTTATTACTATGTATTTATCACATTGCATTCCACTAGTGGTATCAATACCAATCAGTATTGGTCTTATTGGTATATTTCCATCTTACTTCAGTATTTTTTATCATGAAACCTTCCTTTCCTAAACACCCATCTAAATAGATTTACAAAATTTTTATATTCCTCTTGTTTTCCAAGCTGTCCACGCAACCACTGCTTCCGCAAGCAGTAGATAATCTATACTGTCTAGTAAATGAGAATCTGAAAAGGCAAAAATTATTTGGGTACTTAGTTACTTTGGTACCTTAACTTAAAATGAATTTAATTGCATATGTGTTTTTGAAGTTTGTGTGTGGGAAATGTATATAAGAGAATGCTTCCCCTTCTCTCCTTTTATCTTCCTCTTTTGTGTATTGTAGGCTGAGCCTCTGAATTCTCTATGGCATATGTGTTATGTCTTCTGGTCATTTCTGTTCAGCTTGACCTCTTAAGATACAAATTGACAAATAAACTACATTTTGACACTGTTAATTTATGCATAGTAAAACAATGGTATATGAACTTTCTTCCAACTGCTGATACCTCCATTGACAGCATTTATCTTGCACACCTTTTTGGTATCTGAAAGTCCCAGCTTATCATATTATTATTTTTATAATAATAGTTTCTCTATTAAATTATGTTACAGGAACTGACCTGACCTTGCTTTAGGCCCCAGTCCTGCTACTGGTTCTTCATCTGTGGAGTGAAGTGGCAACTGTAGGGCTTTTTTCCTTCTAGTATTCTTTTTGTACAGCACCTTGTGCTGTCAGGCTTCTGTTATTTATTACAACTGATCTGGTTGTTGATGAGGATGGAGGCTAGCTCCCTTTCCTTTTTGGAAAAAAAAGAGCTCAAGACTAGCAAGTTTGTTTTGTTTTATTTGGTGAGCATTATTAATTTATCTTATCAAATTTTTTATTTTTTTTTGTGTGTGTGATTGGGTATAATTAGATTACTGAAATGATTTTGATTTAATTAACCTTCAAAGAAACCCATGTTAGGCTATAACATTGTTTCTGTTGTGCTCAAAATAGAATCAGTAAAAGATTATGGTTCCAGTTTTATATATAATTAAAGTTGAACAGTATTAAACACATCCTAATTTCAGGGATAGGATGACTGAATAGGTAAGAAACAATGAACCTGTTAGGTCTTGATTGCTTCTAGTTTAAATGTAGCCTAGCCTAGTGATAGGGGGCTTGTGAAATAATTGAAAGACTTGGCCTGAATCTGTTTGGTCAAAATCACCTGATTTTTTTGTATTAACTGAGGTCTATTACAATATTTTCAGTAAAGAGCTGCTGAAGTTCTTTCATATCTAATTAACCCACTCAGTAAGGTGAACTAACATTGCTGATGCTGGAAGTGTTTCATTTGTTAGTAAGAGTTTGTATATGGCTTAATAGTAGTCTATATCTTTACTTTGAAATTTGGAAAAGTTAAAAACTACAAGATTGAAAATCAATGTAGATTATACTCAAAGGAGATAGGGTTTGTTTGTGTTTTTTTTAAAAAACAAATCATATGTTTAAATTAACTTTTGGAATACTGGAAGTTTCATATTGCTTTCTGGTTACAGTATAATTTCAGTGTTACTCTGTCATGAAGACCACAACAATTCCTGCTCTAAAAATATTTCAAATGAGAGGCTGTAGCAACATGTCACTTGGATAACCTTAGAAGAATTATGAAAGCTGAAGAAGGTCTGATGCTAGTTCTTTGTGATTAGAAAGGGGGGAGTGGAATAACAAGTTTATGTTAAATTGGGCGTGATTCTGTTCAGATGATTACTTAGTTTGATGAAATGTACCACCATGAGTGTTTGGTACATTTCCAGTGAAATGAGTTGCATTGTTTTTCTGGAAATGACTAAACTGTGATGTATTGGGAGAAGCAAATAGTGGTAGAATTGAGAGCCAGGATCTGTATTGGCGCATATAATATAACACAGTTTAGATAATAAGGTGATCTTCGTTCTCAAATGAGTAAAACAAACAAACAGAAAAAGAAAACAACAACAAAAAAATTACTGCAGTTGTTACACAAAACATTGGGCTGTGTGAGAGCAATTGCAGGCTGAGTAGCACGTGGCCTCCAAGCAATGCCATCACGCAGCCCTCTGGCAGGGCGTGCGCTTGTTTGAGGGCGGACGCGGTGCTGGTGCTGAGCTGGCCCCGGGGATCGACCCTGGGAGGTGACAGATGCCACCTGGCCGCATGCAGTTCTTGCATTGCTAGGACTTTGCCAAGCACCCTCAGGTTCCCAAAATGTTTCACAAGCTGGATGCAGTAAAATCTAAGTGTACGCAGCAAATTAATTTTTTTTTTTTTTTTTTTTTTTTTTTATCTAGCTTCTTGAAACAAATTTTACCTCTATAGTCACTTTAGAACAATATAAGCGTAGTTTCCTGCAATTTAGGTCAGATCTTTCCAACTAACTCTGCTTTTTTCCCCTCTCTTCTCTAAAATGGGAAAATGGGGTAGGCAGTTCTTTTTCTATTACATGTATATATTTATATAAATGTCATACTTGTGGCATAGAATGACTTAGATATTACATGCAGTAAATTTTCAGGTTTTCTTTTAAATTTTAGCGTTCTGGGTTATATAGATCTGACAGCTACCTTACAAACATCAAAATAACATGTAAATTATTCTCCCTGCAGGATACATTACAATTATTTGCAAAAATTTGGTTGGGAAACTTACTTTTATTTGCAGCTGTGTAACTCAGTCATACCTCTACTGTCAGCCAGGAGGATGAGTGCAAAACGGGTGTGAAGATAATCTGAAACTTAATTGCCATCAAGGAAAAGTAATTGGGCAGAGATGGCTCTTTAATTTGTACCCAAAACTGTAAGATGTACGGTGAAATTCTGTTCTTCATCCATCAGGCAGTATTGCACTTTTAGCTTCTTCAGGTAATAGCCTCCTCCCTTCCTTGGATGCTCATGTCTCACGTTGGAAGCCTTTAAATCTCTCAACTGGGATTTAGGTCCTTCACCTCATTCATCTAATCTGGGCCAGCAGCCCAACCAAGCAGCACCTGCTGCCTTCTGTTGCCTAAAATGATCCACATGCTCATGTACCGTGTATCTGCCTTTAATCGTTCCGTATGGCTGTTATGTCACAAACTCTGACAGAATCCATGTGCTTAGGAGTGACAGCTCACTCAGGAGTCCCAAGTTTTAGAATGGATGTAAGGAGGAGGTTTACTTCAGTTTGGATGATTTGGATAAACTCCTCTCTGTATGTCAATAAAGATGTTAATAGCGAGTCAGAGCACCGTATTTGTTTTTCTGTTTATATTACACTGAATTTTATTGGTTTAAAACCATTCAAACTTTACCATAAATAAAAGAAGAATGTTGATGATTTTATTTGTTTTCATGACATTGAGCTTCATGCCACAGAGATTAATGTTAAATTTAAATATTCCTTACCTTTCTCTAATCTTGATAAATTTTGTTGTCATGGCAGAACGTGGCATAACCGGTGAGAACAGAATAGAATTAATGCAAGAAGTCTGACCTTCAGCAAACACTAGCCCCTTGGAGCTTGAGTAGGTGTTTGCACCTCACTTGGCTGCAGATGTCCATGAAGTGAAGTTCCAAACTGCTGGTTGCATAGTTCCTTTAAAAAGTTATTAGCTTGAAAACCACAGGCATTTGATTTTGATAGTATTGCTTCCGTTACTGCCAAGGTAATGGGAAAGATAAACACTGTCTCTGTCACATACACACCCATGAAGTCTAATAATAGTCAAGAGCATAACTAGAAATGATGTTATAGGTCTTTGTTTTCCACAGCTATTCAAACAGAGTAATTGAAAAAAAAAAAAAAGGTTGGACTGCAGTGTTTAGTAGAATAAAGGATACGGCTTCTCTAGAGATCTTGTGAATGCTGACATGCTGTCGTAGCAGATCAGTCTTACTGAGGATGTTTTGAAACGTTGTAAGTGGACTTTAGTTTTGAGGCTACACACTGCCAGGCTTTTTTGGGTTTGGTCTGGTTGTTTTTTTGTTTTGTCTTGTTTTATTGTTATTCTTATTTTTCTTTTTGTTTGTTTCTGTTTGTTTTGGTTTTTTTTTGTTGTTTGTTTGTTTGTTGTTTTTTTTTTTCCTCTTCCTTTAAAATTCTCTGTCTTTTTCCCTGACTTGTTCTGATGTGCATCCATAAGAGCACTTGGTGTAGAGTTTCTCTGCCACAAGGTGACTTTAAATTTAAATTCCGTGCTCTAAAAACTGAGTATGCAATTATGAAGTTGTTTCAAGTCTGTAAATTAAAAATGGGACAGTAAAGCTTTAAAAATAAATGATGTGGGAACAGTGCAATTAACCATACTTTGTAGTAACTTGGGCAAAAGATTCACTCATTAACTGGGATTTTTAATTTCCTTGTTTAAAAGCTAAAATACTTTCTGGACTGTGTTTTGACAAGGGAAGGAAGCTTTGACAGCAGTGAGATTTTGTTCCAAGAGGAAACTTGTCTGATACAGTGAGCAGCATTGCCAGACCACATTTTGCTTTTACTGTCATGTTTTGTTAACTAGTTTTTAGACTTGAAGACAGAGAGTTCATGTAATGCTTTTGACTAGTATTAATGTGTCATGATTTGAGCTCAGAGGGCAGCTGAGCACCACACGGCTGCTCACTGCCCCTTCCCCCTGCAGCGCTGAGAAGGAGAAAACAAGCAAAAGCTTGAGATTTGAGATAGGACAGGGAGGGATAAATCACCCACTATGGTCATGGGCAAAAGGCAGACTTGTTAGGGGAAGAAAAAAAGAACACAAACTTATTAGAAGAACTAACAACAGCAACACTTAACCGACAGAGTAGGACAGTGAGAAGCATTGCCACACCTTGAGAACACCTTCCCCCCACCCCTCCCTTCTTCCCGGGCTCAGCTCTGCTCCCCATATCTCTACCTCCTCCCCCAGTGGCACAGGGGCAGGGAATGGGGGGTGCAGGCAGTGCTGCCGCTTCTGCCATCTCAGAGTGTGGGGAGAAACTTCTAGAACTTCCTCCCCCTGCTCCATCGTCGTCCCCCCCTCACAGCAGACAGTCCTTCACCAACTTTCTCCAACTGGATTCTCTCACACGGCTGCAGCCCTTCCCGAGCTGCTCCGGCGTGGGACACCCCCGCGTGCTGCAATCCTCCCAGCGCTGAATTACAACAGTGTGGGGGCTGCTTCTTCCCCACAGGGTCTTGGCAACTATCTTCAAAGAGATGACTTGGAAATCTGACTGACTTCTAGAGGTTTTGTAGCATAAGAGCTCCCAGTTACTGTATTAATCCATTTGAAACAATCAAGAGAGTGGAAGTGAACGTCCTAAAAGTATTCCATTGGCTATTCGGGAAAATTTGGCATTACCCCGCTTAGCTGTTGTACTGTGAAATATGGTTTCATTTTTTTAATGCAGAAATGGAAGTACAATTGGGACGTTACTTAGATTTGAAGGTTGACTGGAACGTAAGCAGAGGTTTTAATGTCCATTTGATTTCACATTGAGTATAGACTGTTGTGCAGCAAAAATGATGGGTTGTGTCTGAAAACTATCTCATTTTTAGAGTGACTTAATCCAAGAAGTTGATCTTTAGTGCACTTCCATAGCAGTTTCTTGTTAGCAGTAGTGTTAAAGTATGATATTTATTACAATAAGACTACCGTTTTTAAACTTGTGGCTTGAAACTCACAGAATCACAGAATGGGTTGGGTTGGAAGGGACCTTAAAGATCATCTAGTTCCAACCCCCCTGCCCTGGGCAGGGACACCTTCTGCTCGACCAAGTTGCTCAGAGCAATTATGCTCAGTATAGCTAGAACCTATACTTTCAACTCAACTTTACATCCTTTAGGAATGCTAAAATGAGGATGGGTTCCAATCTCATCCAGATTATTAAGCCAGTTGTATTTAGTCATCAAATTCAGACCTACTTAGAACCTATCTAGGCAGTTTTACAATAATATGTTGAATATCTGTGTAATACTAAGCAAGACCTGTCCTATTATGGCCTGTGTGATGTGATAATCAAATATATGCCTTTCCTGAGCATCCTTACAGAAGAACATTATTGCTGTTTCCACTCCTTTTTTTTTTTATTTTAATTGTGCATAAGTATTCCCTCCAGAAGAACAAGAACCTTTTTAAAAAATCAGATCCAAGCACTAGCAGTTTTACATTCCATCTAAACATACTTGGTTATATAATCATGGTACTGAGTTCTTCACATGAATAAAACTTAAGAACAATAGGGTAGAACATCTCATGCAAATGGTTTTAAATGTTTCTGTATAAATTAAATTACCTTTCAAAATTAACTTGTTCCCCAAATAAAACCCAGAGCGAATTCTTAAGTAATGTGTAAACATTTTCGCACGTATATAGTTTTGCATTGTGAAGGCGGGACATAGATGGTTGCATGTTTTCAGGGTCATAAAATGTTACAATGGTAATAACAAATTAACCACGATTTCACATCTGTGTCATTTTACATTCAGGAGACAAAAGTTCATTGTTTCTATTATTACTATTTTGCTGTAGGATGTCAGCTGTAATGAAATCACAGCTTTGCCTCAGCAGATAGGCCAGCTGAAATCTTTAAAAGAACTGAATGTCAGAAGAAATTACCTCGAAGTTTTACCCCAAGGTAAAAACAAACAAACAAATCCCGGTACCTTTATGGTAGCACTTTTTATTAGCTTTTTTAATCATGTAAGTAAATATGAATAAAAAGTAGTAATTACTTTGCCTTCAAATTTATTCCATTTGAGTTTGTGGAATATAGCATTCACTGGTACTCACTAAGTAACAGTCTGTGAGGGTTTTTTAATGATTCTTTGTGATTCTAGGCAGCTTTTAAATTGCATAGCTGCTTGCTTGTGAATGCAGTATGGGAACGGTCAGCTGACTTTTAGGAAAAAAAAAAGAAACTTCAAAGTATTTCTTTTAAAATTTATTGTCACTTGTGTAACTATAACACTTCCATTTCCCAGTATAGAATTGAGTAAATGTTGATCATATTCCTGCCTGAATTTCTATTTTTTCTGAATGCAAAAGTAGGTTTATTCAGAAATATTTTATTATTTTGTGGCAAAAATAAATACAGATATAACACTGCCTCTCTTTTTTGTTACTTTTAGAACTAGTACAGCTTCCCCTGGTAAAGTTCGACTTTTCCTGCAATAAAGTGCTTGTGATTCCAATTTGTTTTAGAAAGATGGTGCAGTTACAAGTATTACTGCTTGAGAATAATCCTTTGCAGTCTCCACCAGCACAAGTAAGTAACATCTATAATTTAAATTGTGCCTTAATATCAGGTGGACGATAACAAATTATGGTCTATGAGATGTCACCTTCTGTAACTGCAAGCTTCTGAGCTTCAGTCATCACAGACACTAGTTGTTGATATATGAAATGAGGCATAGAAAATATCCTATAGTCTGTGTATGAGTCTGTGCACCACTTGAACCAACATGAGTCTACAAGATTTCCATTCTGTTAGCTGCCTGTTTATTTTTGTCATTCCTATCAGCACATGAAACTTCATGTTGGATTATGTATATAATTTTGAAAAAGAGAAGTGAGAAACTTCCTGGATACATTTTCTGTCTGTTAATAAGAACCCAGTACTAGAAGGTTCTACAGTGATCTAGTATTCACTTAAAAAATGTGCAGATGGTCTAGAATGTAATACATGTGAAATTTAATTTACTTTATAGATTGTGATACACAAAGAAATCAAACTTCTGAACTGTAGGACATGCTGAGAAATTACATTAATAAATGAATGGAACCTGTGCTTTCTGCTTAAGGACAACTTCATTGTTTATTGATAGCAGATTCAAACTACATCTCTGAAAGCTACAATTGTTCTAGATCAACAGCTGTTGAAATACTTGATAGATTTTACTGCATTAGAGAAATGCTTTTCATAACCAGTGATGATGCTGATCCTAAACTCAAAAAATGCAGAGCAAGTTTCAGGAAGCACTTGAGCTAGAAGTGTGCAGTGAAAGAAGGGAAATTCTAAAATGCAGGTGAAATGCATCATAAAGATACTTGGACACTAATAAAATCAAGGTGACTAAGAGTATAAAGGACATGGTGATTAATTAAATGTCATTATTGACTAGTTTTGGAAAATTTTTCAATTTATGGTTAGTAATAGGCCATACAATGTATTTTATTGCAATTCTTTTTAAGTGGAAAGCTCATTCAGATTTTTTTTTTTTTAAATAGAATACATTATTTTCTTCTTTTCTGTCTTACTCTCTGAGGAGGTTTGTACTAGTACACACAAATGATTGATTGACTAATTGAAGTTGTTCTTAGTAATTTTAAAAAAACTAATAAAATTCATTTTAATTTATGTGGTATCTATTACGACAATATGAGTTGGTTTTCAGGGAGTTTCATGCTAAGTGACATTTGGAATAAATTATTTCTTTCATTCTAGTTATAAAGCTAACTTTTTTTTTCTTGTCTAACAGATTTGTACAAAGGGTAAGGTGCATATATTCAAATATCTGACTGTACAGGCCTGTCAGATTAAAACAGCAGACTCACTGTATCTTAATGCCATAGAACAACAGCATTTGCCACAACCCGTGGAAGAGAGGTATGTATGAAAACATCACCTAGTTTTTTCACGTAACCCTTAGAAACAAAGTGAAATAAATCTATCTTTAGCTTCCAGAGTGTCATTTATTTAGATGCTCTTTAGAGTGTACTTTTTTGAACAGAGATTTGTTTTGCTTTAATGTATTTTACTGTGGTTAAATAAGAGCTTAGAACAAAATATTTTTAACAATCAGTTCTGATTAAAGTCAGCAGCACATTAGGAAAGAACTTAGAAGTAAATCTTAGTTTAAATATAACCTCTTACTAGTAGACTACTGGAATATGTTGAAAATAATTGAGATGGTAGTGTCATTAGGTGTTGGACCTTTCTTGTAAATCTATTAACACATTAAAAAGTTTGAATTTCTTGTGTTTTGTGATTTATATGTTCTTGTACATTTGTCACATAGTTTTAAGCTTTTTTTATTCATCCAGAAGCTCATCCATCCAGCAAAAAGAGCTGCATGAATGCCGAGACACTTTTAAAGTGAAATGTACTTATTTGTTAGCAAAATGAAAGATGAAGTCTTTAATGTCTTGCATCAAACATCTAGGAAATGTCATCTTGTATCATGATCTAAAACCAGGAACTAGATATGAAACAACTCCTTTCTACGAGAATCTCCATAACTAATTGGAAACCAGCTTTTAGCCAGCTCTTTCTTTGCTAACATGGAAAGTATGATTTAGCCAACAAAAGAAAGTACGATAATGCCTTATTTTTGGAGAGTAGTTGTCAATAAAAACAAAGTGTTGACGTAAATAAAAATGGAGATGTTGCTGCTAACATCCTGGGGAAAAAAAAAAAAAAAAAGAGCTGTTAGAATCTCCCTTTCATTCATCTAGATAATGTTTCAAGCAAATTGTTTTCCTCCATGTATGTTTGGAGACACCTCTGTGAATTTCTATCAGATAAATGCCAAAGGTGGGAAGAATCCAGGATGAAGGGTTAGTTTTCTGTTTGGGAAACACCTACTGGTTTTCTGTTTTGTTCTTTTAGTATATAAGAAAATTGACAGGAATGTCATGTCTTATATGACGCTTTGGGCATAGAAGAGCATACAGGTTAGGGTAAGGGAATAGTGCAGAGTATCTGCCAGTTGGTAACTAACAGCCTAATGCTCTGTCACATAATAATTACCAAATTTTTATTTTAGAGAATAATTTCATACTTCTAAAGAAAAATCATAACTCGGTTAGGATTTCCATAGGCACTTTCTACACAAAATCATTAGTGTTTACTGATAAGAGATAATTAAAGATTAGGATTAATCAGGTACGTTATTCATGTGAAGACTGATGAAATTCTTTTTTAGATTGCTGTGTCAATCTAAATTCAGGACTGCAGTTTTCAGGATTGCAAATTAGGGGATAATAAAGTGTGTTTAAAAAAAAAAAGTTAGGTCATGTGAGTATTATATTTAATAATGTACTTTAAGATGAGTGGATGTCATATTAGGTAATGAAACCAGAAGAGAGAGCAGTTTCCATTATTATAGTAATTTTCTTAAAAACCTAAATTTCAAAGCCTATTTTAAAGCACCAGAATGAGGTTTCTGTGTTAATAATTACTTCAAGCCCCAGGGAGATACCAGTTAATTTTTAATATATCAGTAGTTACAAGTAAATCAGTTGACTCCAGTTTGAGTTCAACTAGTTTAGTTGCTTATCCCACAGCTAGATGACTTCAGTCAGACTCCTGTGCTACTTAGCTAGTAATTAAGCATATTTACCTAGTGTATAGTCAGAAGCAAGCTTTATAGAAGATTATTTCTGTTGTTTTCGTTAATCCCCAAGCTAACCAGCCATTCCATCTGATCTGTTTTATCACCAGACTGCAAATTTGTAGTTTTAAACCATACTAGGCTACTTCACCCTTCACCATCAGGACTGGTAGGAACTTTGCTTTAAGTGAAACCAGGACAGAATTCTAACGGTAAATGTTATGTTAGCTTTTTATTGCTGATTTTGTTTTTTATTATTATTTATATCTAGCATTGATGACATCTACCCAAGTAAAAAGGATTCTGATTCAGGTGTTGGTAGCGATAATGGCGATAAACGTTTGTCAGCAACAGAGGTAGGTTGCCTGAACTGTGTGTCCAGCTCCCCTTCCAGCACCCATATTTTTACTATGTTTGAAGTTGGGTAACAATTTGAGTACATTTTTAGCCATCAAAACTGTAACCACATCCTTGACATGAATTTCTTGCTAGGAAATGTCTAAAACGAAGATGAAAGGAGACTGGGATTTTTTTTTTTTTTTTTTCTTTTATTGTCTGTACACTTTCTGTAGAGGGCAGTCAGATACTTGCCTACAAATGGACAGCAGCCTACTAATAGTGAAAATTAACAGTTTTCAGTCAGTTTACACAATCTAGAGAATGAAGACTAAACCAGAATCCATGCGGGCTATTTCCAACAAAGTAAATGTCCTACCAGGTTACATGACTGGCTGCATCTCAAGTGTTTTCTCTGACTGATGACTCTTTCCTGTCAGGAATTAACAGGAGTTCAGTGTGCTGAGTCCCGATATATTCTGTGGTGTTCTGGTTACAGCAGTTTGCTGTAGTGTAGGAACTTTAGAAACTGTGCGGATCTTAGTACGTATATGTGCTCTGACAGTTAGGCAGTGCTGGAAATAAACCTTCATATTTTTTTCTGAACTATGTTGTCTGACTGAGCAAAGAGAAAGGATGGCTTTCTGACACTAGTGCTTGTCCTAAGCGGTTCAAGCTGACTTTCCTAGACCTATTTTCTGAGGTGCTGTATAGATGAACAGGTCGCTAAATCTAGTTGAACCGAATAAATAATGATAAATAAGTAAATAATTTGCAGTATAATTCAGTGATGATCATTCTGAAATGTACAAATAATGGGATTTGTGGTCTGACCTAATAGGAAATACTTAGGTCACAACAGAAGAATGAGCTTCTTGCTACTTAAAATAATTTTACACTGATTCTTTAGTGTTTCTCTCTTCCTTTGAGGAAAAGAGATTCTGTTGCTTTTGAAACAAACGTATAAAGAATCAAGCTTAGGTACTGAATTTGTAGTTATTAAAAAGCAAATTGAAAACTAATCCACTTACACACTGATTGGTCTTTTAAATACAAAAGCACATAAAAAAAAAAAAAAAAAAAAACACGTGGATTCCAGGTATTTGGGCAAGTTCCTTACTAGATAGAAACGAAGCAGAATTACCGCTCTATCTAGCCATACATCGTATCGTTTGTCTCTAGTTGTAAGAGCATGCAGTCCATTCAGAGACACTTAACAAACTGTGTTGCCATTCTTACGCTTCCTGAAGCAGAGTTAGCATGTTAATGAAATTGTTATTCCAGAATTTCCTCTTTAGCTATAATTAACACCTTTAGAATATAGATCATCGTTTCCTGTAATCAAAATGTAGCAATTGGAATGCTGCAAAAAATGTTTTAAAGACAACCAACAGTGAACCAATATATTTTTATTAGTACAAAGGCTTTTTATATGAGAACTAATTTATTTATTCCATCCCTGCCTGACTACTGCTCTACTATTAAAGAGAAAATAGATGCTGACATCAGTAATCCCAAAGGGATTTGGTAGTAAATTCACCGCTCGCTTTTCCTTCTGATGCGACCTTTAATACCTGTGTTACACATGAGAATTGTGCAAGAAATATTAGCATGTTTAGAATAAAGATTCACATATATTGTTAATTACAATCAGAAATCTACATACCAAACATTCGATAAACATTAAATGACCAGACATAAAGTGATCATTGAAACACGTTTTTGGGGGGGTTTGATAAATACATCAGGCATGATATCAAACTACAGTTTAGTCTGAAGGCTAGTGTTGAGTTTCAGCTCTTTTACAGAAAGTACTACAATGTCATTTTGCATTTGTGTAATTTAAAAATGGTAACTTAAACAAATCACTTGTTTGAATGCTAATGTATTTTTGAGGAAGCTTGCTAATTAGCTTTGGATCCATACACATAGGAGGGATTACTTTTTGAAATTAATGATTTATCTATTCCTGTCTAGCTTGTTGGTGGGGTCATTTCAGGGTCAGTTCTTCAGACACATAGTCACCTCGGGCATTTCAAGTGAAAGATACCTGGTAGTGTGGCTGTAAAATTAATCATGGCAACTTGAATGCAAATTCTGCTTTAAGGTAGTGCACTCATGTACCTCATCTTTTGGGAACAGTGTAGCGTTTTGATTAGTTTTCCACCTCACTTTGACCTAATTTTTCCCTTAGTTAAGATTTGTTAGAACAAGAGGGTACTTCTTAAGATCCAGATGGTGTCCCTGCTTTATTACCCCTAAGAGTGATGCATTTGTACCAGCAAGAATGTATATGAAAATTCTTTCAAAATGCACCATCTGAATTGAGTGTTGGAATTATGTTAGGTATTTTTGATTCTAAGTCTATTGTCTTCTGTTGCTATCTGAATAAAAGTAAAACTCTGGATGAAGGAAGTGAGATACAGTACTTCACCTATGAAGGAGCAATACTTTTGTATTATTGCAGGCTGCTTTGGATAGTTCCTGTTTCATGGTATGCTGGCAGGAACCACCTGGAAAATCAATTGTAGAAATCTGTAGGCCCTGAAAGTAAGACATAGCCTGTTAAAGGAATAATTTTCTGTTTTCAAATTGAATGGCCCATGACTCTTTTGACACCAGCACTCCAAAATATTTTCTTAAAAGCTGTGTGACTCTGCTAAGAAAAAAATTATGCCTGTTTTAGTATTTAGTACTTGTAATAATGCATATAAGAACATTTTATTGTAATATTTTCAAATGATAGTTGCAAAATTAACTAAACATGAATCTTTGATCTGGAATAACTAAATTTAATGCTTAAATGTCACATGAGATACAATCTGAAAGAAAGAGAAGGAAATTCACTGTAACCTTGGTTGTCTGAATGAATTTATACTGTGCATGTCTTTTTTTTTTTTTTTAAAGCTGTTGGGTTGTCATTCAGATCTAAAAGAACTAGTGACTTTTGTGCTTGGAATACTTGGAGTGCGGTTTGTTTATTTTCTGTTTGAGATACTATATTGTTTATTTTTAAAAACTGACGAATAGGTATAGTACTGCAATGTTAGTTCATTTCATTAGAAAGTTTCATCATTTTGATAAGGCTTTATCAAGTCCCTGAACATCCTCTCGAATTTTTTCTCTTTGGAATTTTTGCTCTTTAAGCATAAGAATACAGCCAGTGAATTGACAGAGTTGTTAACGTGCTGTTTATTCATAAAGAAGAACATTTGTGGTGCACCACATTTACAAAATGTATTAAGTCTAGGGTATTCTTGACACATGGAAATAACCATATGTGTCTCTGATACACTTTTTTTTGGAGCAAAGCAGATTTGCCCCATTCCTTATAGTCAACCGTAGCTTCAGGACTTAAAAAAATATTTTCTACATAGAATGTCAACATGTAAAGGTAGCAAGAATGGCATAATTCTACTAGAAGCTAGTGACTGTGCAATTGAGTAACTGATTGTATGTGACAATCTCCTATTCTACTGCAGATCTTAGGGTACAATGGACTGAACTGATAAACAGGAAAACACCATTTCCTTAAAAATACATATTCTTAAAGGATGTGGAACAAGCTGGTATATATGTATTATAGCAGTTACAATTACACAGCACATGCATGGAATATGTGTGCGCAGAGTAGCAAATTACAGAAACACAGAGCACTGAAAAAATGAGCAACGCCAGTGGCTTTGCTGGGAAATAGATTTGCAAAGCTCTGAGAGACTGTTGAAGTGGTAAGCTCTCTATCTCAGGAGAGCAAGCATGAAAACTTGGCCTCCTCTGCAGACTTTTTTTTTTCTGTAGTTCACTTTGGGCAAGAATGTGAGCAAGTCCCTCTGAGCAGGTCAGTGCCGGTCCTGCAGAACGCCAGAGTCTGAGTGGCATGGGACAGAAGTGAAGGCTAGTGTGCCAGAGCTTCTCTGTGTAGCCACTATCTTTAAAGTCATAGACAGGATAAGCTTGTAGGTAAAAGCAATGTGTTCTAGTTCAGCTGAAACACATGAATGAGCTTGTAAGTCAGTGAAGAGAATACAATGTACTATAGTGTTGATGCTTCTATTCAGGTCTACCAGTTAATCTAATAAAAGATATGGCCTTAGCCTACAAAGTTAATCTCGTTTGCTTTAGGTATTCAGTTGATAAGCTGCGTGGTAAAGCGGGGGAGAAGAGCCTTGGAGGGCAAGAAAAAAGTACTGTGATAAAAGGCTCAGTTTTTCTACAGACTTTGGTGGCTACAGGGAGGGTCTATTTTCAGCTGTGCCAGGAAAGCGCCCAGAGAGCAGCACGGTGCAGTGGTGTCATGGCAAGGAGAGGACTAGGGCAGTGAGGAAGACAGGAAGAGACGACAGATGAATTGTACTGCTTGGCGAGCGTCTTGGGAGGATGTTTTCAGCATGACCACAGCTTCCTGCAACGGGATTTGGTCATGTTAGAGGCTCTGGTATCCCTTCCCGTTGATGTTAGTTTGCCACTCTGTAGTGAGCACTATTCTTAATACATACGTCTCTATCACTCCGGGTTTGAGCTGAGAACAGTGTTTCTCTTATTTCTTTTTAGCCATCTGATGAAGATACTATCAGCTTTAATGTTCCAATGTCAGACATCTTGGAAGAAGATCAGGTTGTGAAGGAAGATTCAGGTCACCATGGAAACTCAAGAAAAGGTTGGAATGTAAAAAAAGTGGAAGTTAAATACAGGGAAATTCTGTCGGTAATTCCATGTATAAGACTGTAAATCAATCACAGCCCAACAAGCATCAACCTTTCAGGGGTCTACAAACATCATCTTTAAATGAGATCCATGTTATTAACTGCTATGTCTTCTTGGAATTTTCAATGTTTAATTTTGCACTGGACAAATGCTTAATTAAATTGATTTTTCTTGCTGATATTCCAGTTGAACAGCAGATCTATGTGTGTTAAGTTTTTTGTCATAAATGCCTACCTACCCAAAAGGCTTTGAGCATGCATATGCAGTCATGTAAAAAAGAAAAAAACATGTGCCACTTGGAACATTTTTAACTATATTACGACGACTGATAGTCATTTTCCATAGCAATCCCACCGAACTTGTTAACCTTTTCTCAGGAGTTAAGTTCTGGTTCTTACTGAGGGAAGAAAAGTAAGAGTCGGTTTAAATCATGCTTCCCAACCAGTAATATCAATGCGTAAAAACTTATCAAATGCTAACTTGGATTCTCAGTTAGCAATGTACCAACGCAGAGTCCATTTCTGTAGTTGGACTTTATGCACATATAAAGCTTTATTAATAAAAATCAGCATTACCTCTGGAAAACAAGTAAATCTTCAGGTTTTGTGAGAAGGTTGAGATACTCATCAGAATTGAGTAGAATGCGAAGTGATATAGTAAGACCATTGCATCCTGCAGTGTTTATTAGCAAACTGGAGTGGGTAAGTTATAGGATCAGACCACTTCAAACAGAGGAGAAAATTATTACCACATTATACCCCTGGAAATAGTCTGTGTAAACAGGAGATTGACATAGGCTCTGAATCATTTTGATTGAGTTCTGTTAAGAGTTTGAGTGTTTGTTACAGCCTGATAACTCTGAAGCGGCATTAAACAGCCATTGTCTGAAACATTTGAATGTCTTAAAATACTCGGCAGCTGTCCAGCTGTGTTCTTATGCCAGTACTGGTAAGGCATGCTTGGTGTAGTTCCAAACTGACTCCATCAATGCCTGTTGTGGTGCTTCTCATTTACAACTGTATAAGCCTGGGGTATTGATTTATTACAACTTTAAAATGAATTGGCATCACTCACTCGTTAAAAGGCAAAGGTCTTAACAACTTTGAAGTTTTTAGTATGCTTCAAATTTAAACTTTGCTTGGTTTTGAGCTGTATAATTTAATACACTTCAGTTATGTTGAGTAACAAATGTTATACTGAACAAGAAATCATTCTTCTGTCTGTCTTTATTGTTGTTATTAGTGGAATTCCATCAAGGATCTTCGCACTTGATCGTCAATGATGAGTCAAGAGAAACAGGAAACCAGTTTGATGAATCGGATACTCTTACTACTGAATTTATGAGTTATATTAAGGCAAGTTTATGACAATTTTAAGTGGGGGGAAGTATCTTCAGAGCAAATAGGAATGACGAACTGCTGACATTTTAACGAATAAGAAACCGCAATTGATTTTCATTGTCATTAAAGATACAGAAGGCAAAAAATAAGCAGACAGGTTTAAAGGGATTATAATTAATCTAGGAGGTCAATTGACCCATAACTCTCTCTCTAGTATATGTGAGAGTTATCCTTTAACTATGTTCAAGCCTTTAAGAAAAAGTGGCAGTTATGTTCTGTACTATTTGCTTTATATTTTGAATTGAGCAATTTTTGTATTTGTTGCATTAGTAAAATGAAAGAAGACTTTCAGTATTAGCTGTGGTGGCTAAAGTTATGAAGTAATGTTATGGTACTACAATAAGTTTTCTCAAGTGTTTTAAAATTATGGTAGAAATTGAGAGATCAGTAAAGACAAATGATATCAAATCTAAAATAAAATTTATTATTCTAGGAACCTACCTCTTACAAGATTTGGCAACTTCCTTTCTTGATGGATTTAAGGAGTATACACTGACTCTGTTATGAACTTTGTAGTTTTTATAGGTGATGGGAAAGTGCATTTGGATAATTATGTGTATATTTGTGTGCATAGCAAAACATATGTGTGTATTTAATAACATATGTAAGAAAACACAGGTTATCCACAATAAGAAACTTTGAGATTTTACCCATCAGTCTTTTTTGCATGTAGAGGTCTGGATGCCACCTGAGTTTCCTTAAGCTGTTCCTTTCTGAACTCTAGTGCTCTGGATTACTGTTTACACGTGTCATAATTAGTTGCTTAATCCATTTGAAAGTATTAGCTCTTGTCTTTCTGTCATGGTTAATGAGTACTTGCTTATCAGTCATGTGGCATCTCCCTGGCATATGACTTCTTGCCAAGGAACTATCAAATGTGCTTTCTTTTTGAACTGTTTTTCATAATGAATGGCTTTTTAGAAGTTGTTCTGTTGTGCCTTTTTGTCTGTTTTCAGTTGTATTTTCCGCATTCATATTTTTATTTACTAATTCTTTTCTATTTGTGGCATTAGGATTAGTGGAATATGTCTACACATGTGTCTGAGAAAGCAGACATAGAAATGTACTACAAATCTTTAGTGATTGCTGTTGTGTGGTAACTCATGAAATTCACTTGCTTTATTATATAGCAAGAACTGCCTGATGAATGTGTAAGTTAAATATAGTTAGGCAGGCTAAGAAATTTTTGAAAGCCTCTAGAGAAATTTCGAGTAAGTTGTTTTCTTTCTGTGAAAATTTATTTCCTGGATACTTTTGGTAGATCCTTTGTAATACAAAGATATTTGAGAAGCCAGTAGTATTTTGTAGCGTTCCTGTGGATGTGATGTCTCCTCTTAATTTACAGGACAGAAACTATTATCTAGTATGGATATTTTTAGACTTATTTTCTCCTTCTGTGGAGATTCTTAAGGGGTGCAAAGTGGCATTGTATCACTTCCACCTTCCATCTGTTATAGGAAAAAATGTGCTGGGAGGTAATAGCGGAAAGAGAAAGGATATATGGCCTTTCACCTTCTTGGAAACAGACTTCTAGTTCTGCTAAAGATCTTTTTATTTGAGCAACCTTTTTGTTTTTTCTAGCAACAAAACTCTGGCAGATCTTTTTCAGCTAGTTGCAGAGTCTCTGAGTTGGCAGCCACAGAAGACTAGCATTTAAAAACAAAGGAGGGGGGAAAAAAAAACAACAAACTTTTCCCTTTCATAGTTACTGAAGACATGTAGTTATCAGAAAACTTTATTTACGTAGTAAATACATGTTGGCTATTATTTTTTGTTATTTAGAAATACAAATGTGAATTTGGTATTATTGATTATTAGGAAGCGTTATCTATAGTTGCTGAAAATTTAGGACACTACAGGTTATTTTATATTGGCTTGTTCTCTTGTGACTTTTATACTAAAAAAAGTTTGAGGGATTTTTTTTTTTCTTAGCTATTTCAAATGTTATTGTAAGAAGTAGTTTTAGATAGTTAAAATCTTAATAAATGATCATAGGTTTCCTGCATACAAATTTTTAGCACGTGTGCACATCGGAGGCATATGAACTAGGTACAAGGGGATAAAATACTTTTATCCTCCCCTGACAAAGGGGTGCACACATCTGAAGATGACTGTACGTTATATTATGGATCTACTTTGTATTTCCTCATTCTTTGCACTTCATCACCTTGATTTTCAGTAATTTACCATCTGAAGACTATTTGCTTGGGAATGTCCTGTAACATAATAAGATACTATTATGTCAAATAATGTATTGCAGACACTGGTTCACTAAAATACAGGTTACAATACTGAGTTTCAGTATAAGGATACTGCTAGAGTAAGCAGTTTAATTTCTTTTAATTTTGATATCATCTTAACATTATGGCAGTTCAGATCAGCAGCTGGTAACTTGAACAGGTAGTATAGGATTTTGAACTCAGGGCATTTTCCTTCTTGTGCAGATTTCTGCGTCTGTTGTGTTCTTTGGTTTGTATTTAGTCATGTTTTAGAATGCCTTTTGGGACAGTAGGGGTCTTCTGAAATTGAAATTCTGGTTAACCAAACCATACATAAAATCAGTACAACTTGAAGTGCAAAAGAGGAGTTTAGACTTGGAGGGTTTTGTAATTTTTCAAATGTTAGTTCTAATTTCTGTGGCTTTATTTCTTACCAATACAGTTATGTCCAGAGATTGAGGATCACCTTCTAGAATAAGTGCTGCATTTTTGTCATCTTATGATACGTGCCCTTCTTATGGGAAAAATCACATACTTCATTCTTGTAAGGAGAAGAAAAAGAAAAAAGAATGGATTTATTTGTTCTACTGGGGATTGGCACTGGGAAGTGGGCCATCTTTGGGGAATGTTAGAGAAGCTGGTATAATCTCCAGCGACACATCTAGCAGAGTTGGATAGCATTTATTAGTACAGGGTGATGTGACGGATGTGCCAAACACGACACAAAAGAGGATAAGCCTCTCTGTTGCTGTTCATTCTTTACTAGTACAAATGAACATCCATTCAGAGAGCTTCTGTCTTTACTGGCAGCTGAACTACTTCAGTGTTCCTGCCTGTCTGAGATGGAAGAGAAAAGAAAATTGCAAAGTGCTAAATGGAAGGATAAAAGAAAGAGTCAAGTTTTCTAATAGGTAGGACAGTGAGAGCTCTAATTTATGCCTACACTGAACCCAAAATAACTGGCTGGCTGATATGAATTCTTGCATGCAGTTTTTGCTCTGGTTTGTTTTTTTTAAAAAAATATGTATTCATGGCTGTTAAAATTGTCAAGTAGGAATCCTGTTAGTAATTATGGATGAAGTACGTAATTGCTACTGTTTGCAGATTTGGAATTTCCTTGCTTTGTAAACAAATCTGGCTGTGACAGGAGACCAGGTAGAAAGGAGAGTTAGGGTCATGCTTAATTGGAGGATTCTTTGCATACCCCAGCAAGGCACAAATTAAATTGGGGACATAGAATAAAGAATTCTCATGCTGCTTGACTTTCTTTTTACTGTTAAAGGAGGGTAAGGGCTGTTAACCTCAATAAAACCTGAACAGTGAATAGAAGATCTTGTAATAAGTATCTTAAAAGGGGGCAGAGTGAAGAGTGGAGCTGAAGTGTTGGATTGCTTCAAGTAGCCACCCTAAACTGTTACATAAATTAGGTCAGCGCTGAGACTGAAAGCAAAATTCATCTGCCTCCTTAATTGCAAAGCTCAGTTCTCAATATCACTTTGCTTACAGAGCAGAGCAGCAGAGTGTGATGAATTATTGAGAATAGAAGAGGACACACAATGGCAAACAGACGAAATGTAAGTATTTTTTATGTATCTATAAGCAGTTAGCTGTGTCATTTCATTAGATTGACCAGAACTGGCATTATCTTAGCAGTTAATAACTTTGTAGACTTGGAGGCATGACAGAAGCACAGCCTTGCGCTTTCTGTGTGCTCAAGGCTTTAGACATTATTGCTGAATAGAGTGGATGTTCTGTTACAACTAATTAATTTGTATGCACCAGTAATGCTGTAATATTTTTTACCTATGTAGAATGCAAGCTTTTTAATTAGGTATTTTGATATTTAGTCTGTTAATGACATTGGTAAAAAAGGATTTCATCAAAACTTGTAAGATCTAAATTTAATGCATGTTTAAAAAAAAAAAAATGGAAAAAAGCACTCAGTCTTTTCTTATTCTGTCATAATTTTAACCCTGAAGCAGTCATTAATTCATAGACATTAATTCAAGAGCAGAGCAAGGGAACATCAGTTGCTGAGGCAAGTGTGTAAGAAAAGAGGACTTAACATGACAGTGTGCCGTGAAGTTGTCACTTATCAGAACAGTGGAGTCTTGTGTGATTTAAAAAGAAAAACTGAAGGAAGGGAAGAATAAGTACTTTCCGAAAGAGCCACAGAAGATTGTGTTTCTAGCCCCCCAAAAGAATTACAAATGTTGAAAGGCAAAATAAAGCAGGGTGGTCCATTAAAATAATTGTTGTATTTAGTACCTGTGTTAAGAAAATACTCGTGATGAGTGCAGTTAATGAGTCAAATGTTGGTAAATGAGTTTTCAATTTTAGAAGTCAGTCTGTTTAATTGAATGTTAAAAGTTTCAGTTCATCACATTTGCTTATGTATGAATTAGGTTGGGGAGCTTTAAGGGCAAAGTGCAGGGGAATTTTTTCAGAAGAAAATCTTTCCATAAATTCAGCATATACTAGTGTGCACAGAGTCTTTTTTTTCCCCTCTATAGTGTTTGCATGTCAGTTGAAAGATAGAGCTCACAAATTGAAATTCAGACTACCCTTGATAATTGCTGTTACACCTCTTTTTTGTGAATGCTTTTGTTTTCTGTTGTAGAATAAATTTATCAGAAGAACAAACTATTGATATGGTAATGATAGAACAACTAAGAGAAGCAGTAGATTTATTACAGGATTCCAACAGGTATGCTTACAATAGCTGATGTGTTAATGTAATGTATTTAAAATTTTTGTGAGTGACTTTAGAGTTCTTTTTTAAATGATAATTGAAAGTTATCTGCAGTGTTGAAGTATTTTGTTAGCAAGCTGCTGTTTTTCAGGAAACACTTAGATAGTTAAGAAGGAAACTTGAATTCTCTCTCTGAGTATCTACACAAAATTCCCAGTAAATTAAGAAGGATTTCAGGTATAAAAGAAACCTAAAATTAGAGGCGGAGACACGGCTTAACCATTCATTTTGTGTACACTACTGTGATTTTCTGGAATTTTGTCTAGGATTGTCACATTTCTTCTAAGGTCTATAAACTCTCCTGGCTTGGTGTATTTTGTGGGAATGGAAAAGGTCGTCTGGCCCAGCTTCATCCCAGTTTGGTGGAGCACATAAACAAGGTGTCTGAGTTAGTGGTGGAGTTTCTGTAGTCTGCCCCTGAAATCAAAAGGAGAAAGAGGAAAAGGCAGTTAGAGAAAGTTATTTAGGTTTACCCTGAGTACAGAAGGCAAGGTTTTGTTATTTAGCTGCCTGTTTTACGTGGCCGAAGTCAGGTGGAATAACTATGGATTTGTGAATAAATGAAGGAGTAAGTATTTAAAAGAAAATAAATGTTTGTCCTGCTGAAAGGGACTGACAGGAGTGGTGCAGGTAGTTCTGTCCATATGCTTGCTCTAAGTTTTCTTTGTGTAATCACCTTCAGAAATTGATTAAGATCATTTCAAGAGTAGGTAACTAATTTTTCTTCATTACTTCTATGAGGTAGCTGGTTACAGATTCATTTCTCTGAAGACTAGAAACCTCCTTGACACTTCCAGCTTTAAGTATCCTTGTTTCTCCTTCCTCCCTTGGCCAGTTCACTGTAGCTGTTTGTTCTTGCGACTATACTGTTCTTCAGTTTAAATGCCTATTTTGATACTGCTTTTTCACCTAGCAGACCTTTGTACTTTTTAGGACAGAAATTCACTCCTGTTAGAACTTCTAGAGTTATCTGGATTTATTTTGATTCGTATAAAGATAACCTGAATTCTTGAATCATATACTGAAGACTTGAATCACAAGTATTTTTGCTTTATAAAAAAGTAATAGAAATTAGGAAAGCTTTTTAGTTTCTGTGAGATAGAATACCATTGCTTCTGTACCTTATATGAGGCCTATTACTTTGTGGGAGAAGTGTTCCAATTAAAAAAGGAGAAAGTCTAGTTTGGAAAAAAGCGACATTAAAAAAATTTCAGTTGTTAGCCTTATACATTTTGTCATTTTGTTTTTTGGTTTTGGGTTTTTTTTAATATGTTGCCCCAATATTTTCTACATATTTAGTTTTTCTTAGGAAATTAAAAAGAGCAATAAAATACAGAAAACTAATCTGTTTCTACATGCATATTCAGATGTGTTTTCATTACTAACACTACAGTGTTGCTGAAGAAATGTGTCTTTTAAAAATAGCTAATCTTGTCATGCATGTCTGCATTTTTCTACTGACTTTTTACATAGTGTTGGTTGTTTGTTTTATTGTGACTGCAGTTCCTTTATCTAACTTTAAAATATGAGTAATAATGAGTATTTTTAATTTACTGAGCACTATGTAGGCATTTCAATGTACAATTCCTGTATGCTAACATCCAGACTTACCCAGCAAGATACACCTGGCTGCGTAATACTTGCCAAATGATGGCAAATGACTTTCAGTCCTCTGGGCCATGGGTGGTTCATCATTTCTTTCGTGATCACTGGGTTACACGGCAGTTTGTTATATACTTGCATTATATAAAGCAGTGTGAGGAAAATTTTGGTTTTCATACTGAATAGTTTTTGTGTCTTTATCCAGATCCACAAAGGAATTTAAATGCTTCCATTGCTCCTTAAGGATGCACAAAAGCTTTCACGTGCTTTTAACTTCAACCTAGAGCATGTAAAAAATGATAACTTTCCCCAAAGAGGTTTCTTTTGTGCATCAGTATAACTCTAACCACCTAGTCAGGATAACCTAGTTGAAATAACTAACTCTAGCCACAATTAGCCCTTTCTCACACCGAACGCCACTTAGGAGTTAGAAAGAGAAACCACTGTAGGGGCTGAAACAGTAGGTGATGCTGACACACCTAACATGCACTGGCTGGAGTTCAGTGTAGAGTATGTCAGGTGGAGCTATTTTTGCTAACAGATATGACTGTTAAACTTGAAAAACACTTGTCCAGTTACTGTTGTCCTAGTGTTCTGCAAATTTTCAAATCTGTACACCCTACGTGCACATAAGCAGCATTTCAGTTCTGGAAAGGAAAAAGATTTCAGACTCAACCTTTTTCAGTATTTTCCGATTCCTGTATTCCCTTTCCTGTACTCACTGCTTTCTTTCAGATCATTGTCTGTTGTGAATTTATCATTGCACTGCTTTATTTTCATCCACTGTAAATCAAACTAGAATATCTAGCCAGGGCTGTGGCTTCTATTTGAACACAGGGAGCTATGTGTTGGATATAGAAATGTACAGTTTTCTAGATAATGGCATGGTCGTTGATAGTAAACAGGTCCTTTTGTTTTGATATAAGTCATTGCTCAGGGTGACATTTTGCAGATAAAAGCATTAATGTTGATTTGACTGAACCGGTGACAGTAAAACAACAGGAGGCGTTTCAAAAAGTTGAGAGAGAGAACACTGAGCAGGTTAAAACCATGACTATAAAAGTGTTTCATATATCCATTTGTTTGAAATTAAATACTGAACGGAATGGTTACCAAAGCTATATCCCAGTGCAATGTTTTTATTTCAAACCTTACAGATTAAGCATGGATATTTCAGAGAGCAGTGGTGTGAATCTGTATCCCATGGAACCAGCAAGAGCTTTAGAATTTCAGGAGTCTACAGTAAAGTGTGTTTATCTACCTTTTTTAGAAAAAAAGTAACGCATTTGTTAGATTCATCCTATTCACATTTCTACACAATGAATTACATATTTGCATTTGTTTATCTTTATACATAGCGGTCAAATGCAGATGGAGATGTCTTCCCTGGGTCAGGTATGTTAATGAGTGTATTACAAAATATCTGGGGGGGGAAGACAGGAAATGAGACAACAGTTTAATCAACTATTAATCTACCAAGTAGGGAAGGGAAAAATTTAGTAGGCTGGAGGACAAAACTAATTATTTTTTTGACATTTTTATGGAATGGGTCTTAATTTTTTATATATGTATATATAAATTTTTTTCTGGGTTTATCAGTTACTTTTTTCATCTTAGTTTTTTTTCCACCTGCATGCACCTTTCATGTATGCCAGTTCATATCTCAGCTATGCATACTTGTTGACCATCCCACCCCACTATGTCCTTGTGCTAGTGTAGGAAAACATTACATTCATTAAGAATAACCCCAAAATATTTTGTAAACTAAAAATCAGTGCTTTCCCAGAACTGTGTCACTATAGTTACAGAGAGTATATAAAGTATGATTTGAAGTTTTACAGTGTGATATGTGCTGCTTATTATTTGATCTCTATCTCGACTAGTGAACTGGTATTCTTTATGAAGTACTTTTAGATTTACATTATTTACCTGTTAGCACTGGAACTGCAAGTATATAGTATCTGCTTACCTGTTTGTTCACTTTTCATCATAGTATTTGTAAGAAATACTTCTGAGGTAATGTTATGCAAAAAAAGACATAGTTCTATTTCCAGTGATACACAGTCTGAAGTGTTATTTATCTTACAGGGAGAAAATGCTGAAGAGGAGCTAGAATTTCAGAGAAGGAGAGAGTTGATTATGGAGAAAACAAAGCCTGAAGTGAGAACTTGTGAACAGGGCGAAAAATGGTCATTGAGTCAGGTATGGAGGTATCTGGATGCAATAAATGTGGAAGCATTTGGAATGGGTCCTTGCATTCTGTCAATTTGTGCGTGGAGATCACAGTGGGTTTAGGCCCATGGGCTTTGTTTTAGGGTTTTTTTTTGCCTTAGCATGAGTCTCAAGGTTTGGCTGTAAATGGGAAGTTGATTAAGACCTATCTCTCAGGAAAACAATGATATAATTAATAAAAGTCTTTTTTTTTTTTTTCCAATAAAAACTATAGTAGTTTCAGTGATAGCGTTCCCCTGGAAAAAATAAGTCACTTCAAAGTTAGATCTTCAATAAAATGAAGCACCTGATTCCTCTTTCCCTTCACCCCAAATACTCTTGTAGTTTATATAAGCTGCTAAGTTTTTGTTAACAGCAGTATTTTTAATGTGGTTAATATTGCAAACAGAGTGAATATAGGTTGAGAGGATAGTTTTAAAGTTTCAAAAGTATTTTAAGTTTTGTATAGATTGCAGTGATCCAGAAATAAAAGAACTATGAAAAAGTCTAATTTAAATATTTGGTGCATATGTTATTCCTTCAGAACTTGTTCGTATAGGGATTTTGGGACTGCTCTTGCAAGAAGATTCTGAGAACAAAATTATATAACCTTCTGTCTGGTAGTACCTTAATACGGTCTATTTTATCCAAATATAGATTGAATCTGGTTTATCTTGATGCTTTTCAAATATTTGTTAGTATAATCATCATTACCATCAAATATTCCTATGATATCCCAGTGACTTTGTTAGTCTTAATTTTGTCTTTGTGTTTTCTTTAAAATATCAAATTCTAAAAAAATGAGTTGGTTCATCTCTTTTGTTATATTGCTGTACATCGGGGTTACCACACTCTACTTGGAACAGTTCTTACTATATTGTTGAGATTAACAGACAAGGCTAATTCAGTGTCAAAATGTGTGTTCTCTGTATTTTGGTGAACCATTTAATGAGGACATTGCTGATTCACTTTTAAGAACCTTTTAAAAAGAATAAATAAATCTTCCTAAACACTTGTGGAGGGCCTGGTCTGGACTGTATTATGCAGGTGAAAGCACTGGGCACATTCTGTGAAATGGAAACATCTTGCAAGAGCACGTTTTTAATCATACTATGTTCTGTGTAGGTACAGGAAGCTCTTGTGTTACTACTTGTGTTACTAAATTAATTCAATTTAGCATAAATTCAAAACTCTGACTAGTTACCTGCATGGGGTGAGAGAGATTAGACCTGCAACATAGGCATAACTAGCAGGTCTGTCACAAGACCATAGTCCCTGAGCACAGGAGGGCTCAAGAGTGCAAATCCCTACGTAGAACTGGCTGGGATCAGATGAGTAAGATTTCTTCCTGATTATTCTAGGTAATACAGTGGTCGAGGTAATTTTATGAAGGATGCTAAAGCTTAAGATTTTTTTTTTTTTTTTTTAAGCTTGAAAAGTAGCACAGAAAGGTCATGAAGCAAAACGGGTGTGTGATCTTCCTTCCCATCTTGCTAACTTTTGGAAAGCTCTGTGACTGTTGAGACCAAGTGTTCCAAGTGCTGTCTTTTATTTTTGTTGTCATTTTTTATTGATTACAAAAAATTGGCCCTAAGGAAATTGTATTTAATTGAATTATAATTTGGTTTTACTTACGTCTGTCGTATTTCTATTGAGTTAGGATTGATGCAGATCTAATGATTGTATTTCATATTTATTAACATGATTTACATGTTTCCGATTTACTATAGCAAAAGTGATAATGAAAGGTATGTTATATTGCAATTATAAAATTAAGTGCTTGTGCAATACTTCTCTCTTCAAATCCATATTAATCTATGTTTGCATATTAAGCTCTTGGTGATAGCTTAATTACAAAATACGTGAAACAAAATTAGATACTGAATTTGAACCAACAAACATTAAAATCTTATAAATGCAGTTATCACTTATGATTGAAATTAAAAAAATGAATAACAAATCTGTTTGCATAATTTCCACAAGTTTTTTTAAAATATTGTTCAATTAGCAATGAGAGTATTTATTATTGATGAAAATTGCGTCAGTGAAAAAAAAGAATTAAGTATTAATGTGTATCTGAGTATCATGAGTAAAATATCCTGTTGAGGTGTATCACTAATACAGTTGCTGAAATAGTTGTGGCTGTTTTTTTTTATCTTTCCAAACACACAGAACGATCTAATTGTTTGGAATACAAGTGGGCAGACCTCTCACAATGAGGTAAGATGCCAGTGCCATTTGTTAGTCTCTTATATGTTTTAGATGAGTAGTTCATATGCTAAAAGAAACATGTAAGTGAACATCACAGAAAATATGACTGAGCTAATCAGTAATGGCCATGTGGTTTATTTGACCTGTGTTTTATCCTTGTTGTCTTAAGGATTTACTAGAGTATAGAAGTATAATTTCTGATAAGCTTGTTTCTGAGTTATGTAGGTTAGTATAAAACATTTAATTTTTTTACTATTTCTTTGTTCTGTCACATTTTCTTTTTTTGACTCTTCCTCGTTCCACGAGAGTTTCTGTTGATTTCAATGCAATTACTTTTTGCGCAGTTGTGTCATGTCTTTGATTAGTTTTCAGAGAAGAATCCGATTTTATTGATCCTGTCGCTCTCACAGTGTGAATCTCAGCAGCAGGTCAACAAGGGAAACTGCTGGGAGCACCTCGTGGGGATTTTTCCCTTCGTATTTTCTGTGCAGAAATAGGGTTTCTCCTTCTACATTGCACTGTGTATGAGTATCTTGCAAATTCACGAGCACCCAGCCACCTTCCACAAAGCTTGGTGATGGGACTCCCATAGTTCCTGGCTCCCTGAAGAATTACTTTTTAAATAGGATTCCCATTATGGGGTTTGGTTATAGGACTCTTTCTGTGTTACCGTTGGTGGTATAACGGTTATACCTCATCTTCTGTATGCTGCTACTCCATTCCTCCTGCTGCAACTGTTCAGGGTCAAGGGCAGTCCTTCTCTGAGGTGTATGATTAACTTCCTCTTTCCTGCTTTTTAGGCAAAATTCAGTGTTGCATGGAAAATACCATGCCGAATGGTACTTAATTATGTGAAAGGAACAAACGTAACTAAGGAAAAAACATGTCTTTATTTTGCTAAATGCATTTAAAAAAACCTAATATTTGATGGAACCAAGTGATTACATGGGAAAAAAATGAGAGATAATTGAGCTTATTTTATAGCTAGGGCAAATATCTTGCAGTCTTTGGTCGGAAACTCATCTTTTCCAGCAAAGGAATAGGACACAATAAAAAGGGGAGATTATCATAGGCTTGAGGCTATATTGTGATCAGATCATGGTGGAATAGTTGTAGCATGCTGTATTGTTAACTTTTGCATTTTATACAGTCAGTTGTGCTGAGATATTCTGGATGTCATTCTGACTTAGATTTATGTTCTTGAATTACACAGAACAAGGATAAAAGTCCAACAATGTCTCCTACTACAAATGCCACAATTCCTTTTGGCCTGAAGCCACGATCAGGTAATGTGGGAAACTTAATCAATTCGTGTGTACTTTTTCTTTTTTCTTTTACATCTGTGTTATTAATAGATGTCTGTATTTTTTACCCTTAAGAAAGCAGTGATAAAACATTTTCTGTACAAGTTAGAAGATTAGAACACTTTTAGGTTATAGATTTGAATTAAGATTGAATTTGTAACAAGTATGTATTTGGCATATTATGTATTTTAATCACGAATAAATTAAGCGTTTTATGAAAGTATATGTGTGTATGTTTAAAAAATATGTGTTTATGTATATAAATACATATTTTGTACATGTATACATATGTCATCTGTCCTGATGTACTAATGGAAATATGATTTTTGTTTAATTGCTATGTACTGATACAGTTTAGATTTTGTTGAATAATACTTGTGAATAATTAGGCTTCTTTGGAAAATGCTTATGCATTGCAATGAGTCTTTCAGTAATCATGCTTGTGTAAGAATCAAACATTATAGCGAGATTAGATATTTGCTTTAGCCAGCAGCTGAGTTTAATCTGTTTGCAATGCACTAAATCTACAGAACCATCAATCTTTTAACAAGCAGCAGTTTATTTATGAAAAAAAAAACCCACAACACACCCCACCCCCCCTCAAAAAAGCCCTATTTGATGTATTTGAGGGCTTCCTTTAAAAACAGAATTATCTACAGGATTAAACTCAGTTTTTATCTTCTCCATGCTGAGGTAGTGAATATTGGTAAGTCATCTCACATCACCTCTAAAGAATAACTGTAGGTTTTTCAATATGTTTCAGCGTCCTAAGACTAGTTCTGGTTTCTTGCATTCACCACAAATGCTTTTAATCAAATGCTGGTAAACCACTACAAGCTTGTACTTTCCATAACAAAATATCTTTGCAATAATGACAGCAGTTTCACATTTGGATGTTTAAGAAATTGTACCCATAGATTTCTGTGGTTTTTTTAAAAAAAAAGTTTTAAAAAGCAAAGAAAATAGTGTTGAACCAACCTTGTTTCATGAAGAGGATATTTTAAATTTCTCATGTTATGATACACGGTTTGACAGATCTATTCAGTTGCATTTCTTAGTTTGTTGGACTGTTAAACTCTGGCTCTATTCCTGATGCTTTACAGATGTTGCTATTTCTCTATATATTTGAAGTATGGGTTAAATGATGAGCAAATGGATCCTTTTAGGATTTGGAAAATATAAAACACTGAATAACGTTGCACAGTCCAGTGACAACATTATGATAACACTGTTAGGAGAAAGATGTGTGAAGGCAAACAGGCCCGTGCTGTGCTGCTGCTTTCATGGGATGCAGCCTGTGTTCTGCTGAGCTGCCCGTGAAATCTGTGGCCGGGGACTGGAAGCAGTGTTGTGGGAGGGAACGCAAGACAAGTGACTCCTTGTTCCAGTGTTAGTTTAACGTGTCCTTTCCGAATCTTGGTAGATCAGTGTGCCGAGATGTCCTATACTTAATGCCTGTAATAGGTCAGGACAAAATAGCCTAGTGAATCTTTTTTTAGAGGATTTCTAGGACAACTGGATTGCAATGGTTGCTGTCCTTTGCAACAAATCCAAGTCGCACGATGGAAGACCAGATGTGCACAACTCCTGCAGTTCTTCCCCTGAATGCATTGCAGCTGTATATAACCTCGTTGAATACCAAAGTCAGTTGGTTATAATCTGTTGATTTTTCTGCACTGTGCCAATTCAAATTCATATATTTGAATCACTTGAATTATGCCAGTGCTATAGTGTCTTTTGGTCACAGCCATGGGTTGCAGAAAACTTGGTGATCTGAATTTATTTTTCCGTCCATACCGTACGCTACAGACTCACCAAGCTAGAGCCATTGCTGCACAGTCTTTCACCTCATCGCGTCCAGTTTCAGTCATGTTACTTGAAATTTACACCATGGTACGGCAGGGGAATTTAACAATAGCAAAACTTTAGGTCCAACTTCAGATAAAAGGACAGTATATTAGCTATGTAGCACAATATAACAAAATTAAATCTTGCAAAGGAGTAGTGAAGCTGCATATTGTTTCTGCTATTGCTCCCACCCTAGCATTACTCTAAAAAGAGTTAAAGTTTGTTTTGCTAACACATAAGAATAATTTACAGATAGACGTAGCACATGACTGAAACTACTGGCATGTTTGTGAGCCCTGTGCGTCTTTCCTGTTAAAGCTGGTTAGCTTGCCATGTCTCTAGTTCTTCACCGTATTTCCTTTAAAACTTTGTGCAAGTTTTGTGTGAGTTTGAATTTGTGCTTGTTAATTTTAGACTGCCCTAGAGCTGAGCTACTTTAGTGATCCAGTAATTCTGTGATCCAGGAAAGTTTTTCAGCTCAGTTTGTAGTTTTTTGTAATAGCTTTTTTCATTTAATTTCTTCATGGCCTTAGGGGAAATCTTAAAACTCATTGGAAATGAGTGTAGCTATTTAACATCAATAGAGCTTACATTTGAATTACTTGCTTCTATAAGTCTTTTAAATCTGAGTTTAAGATTAAAAGAACATTAGTGTTCTAACTAAAATGTGTACATCATGCTCTGGAAAAAAGTGGCAAACTTTCAATGAAAATATATGCAACCATACCCTTCTGAAATTTGAGATTTCATTTTCACTGTGTTTATTTTCATCTACTTTAGATGAATGTTGCTTTCGTTGACTCCCCCTTTCCCCCATCTTTTCATCATGATTTATGACTCTTGGAAAGGTGAAAGTAAACTGTTCTAGACTTCTGGTAAGGATTCCAGTTTTTCGAAGGACACACAGACATGGAAGTGCTTCCAGAGGATAAACCACAGTGGCGTAAACTTCTGTGTTAGTACATACTGATACGTGTTCAGGACTGAAGGTCCTTTTATTCTTTCATTTTAAAGTTAGGCCAAACATTGGGAAAATTCATGTCTGATGGCTGACATAGTACCCAAAGAAAATGTTTTGAAATGTAATTAATGTGTTTTGACTCCTTGACAGATTCTTTTCAAGGGTCAGATGTTTACAGAGACGGTAAAAAGAGAGAAGATTTTTAATTTTTTTGTTATATTTCCTCCTGTATTTTAAATATTTTCATAGAGAATGGGCTTCCCAAGTTCACATTGATTTTGAAAACCTTAAAATTTACTGTTGAAAAGAACCAACAATTACAAGCTTTCTTAGAACCATAGTTTTGCTTCTGGGAAGTGCTTTTGCTCTCTGAAAAGGAATCACTCAAAACAGTTAATAAATTCAAACTCCCTTTGCTTGATTCATGAATTGATTAAAGTGTTTAGAGGTGTACTAATTGTCAAAACTGAGTGTTGGAAAGTTCTTGTCACATCTTTAATATGCCTGAACATCTACTAATACATCTTGCAGTACTCAAGAATATTTTTTGCTCTGTGCCATTTTGAAGTCAGTGTGTTGCATAGTTTCTGCTGAGCAAGGTGACAGCAACACAGACAAGCAAAAAAAAAAAAAGTGTTCCTTCAGAGGCTAAAAGAAGCACTTTTAGGTGAAGTTTTATACAACACTGTCTGAATTATCATGTTAATACAGGTTCTAGAACTGTGGGAAGGAAAAAGTCTATGTGATTAAGTTCCTTATGATTATTAATCTGAAATGGTATAGGGACTTCCTGTGCTTGATGGAACCTTACCTTGGACTTTCTTCTAATATTAAATGGTTTTAGCTGCTTTTTGATCTACACAGTAATCTGAAATTGATTTTGGGTTATGGTTTAGCATTTAGAGTGGAGGTAATTTATAATCTCCAGTTTAGTTTAAGGAGCATGAGTATTGCTTGTGTGTGGGATTCAGTAGATAAAACATGGAAATATATGTAGGAAACCAAGAAATGAGTGAGTTCATAATTTTGTGGCAGAAGTTATAAGGAACATTGTGATCAGATATAGGGAAAGCTTGTTGAGTGACATTGTTGTGAAGGGAGAGATTTAAATTCTGTGTCAGAAAACTAGTGGGAAGCTTTGAAAGGATGGATGACGTGCTGAAGATAGTCAGGGAGGAGGTATTTTAAGGATGTCAGTGTCCATTTCTGAAACAGTACAGAATGGAGGTTTGGGGAAAGCTGGGGCAGAAATCCTTGCCACAATCAAGACAGGAGACAGAAGTGCAGAGTGAATATGGTAGGGAAGGAATAAAAATGTCGGTTGAAGGATTTGAGGAACAAATAAGAGTTGTTGACATGAGTAGTTGAAGGAGAGAAGATAGAATGTATGGAGAGTAGGGACTTTATTGCTGTACAAGTTTAACTCCGTAATGAGTTGATGGGTGGTCATGAACTGTAGGTAGAACATGCATTTACAGTCATCTCCAGGCTCTGTTGCAACTTCCGTGGAAACGTGCAATTTTTCATGCTTTATGGAGCCCAATTGGATCATTACTGAATTTGTTTGTTAGAAATCTGTCTACAGTGCAGGTTTGCCAAGGCATGTGGTGCAAACTCAGGATCACCCCTTGGAGGTATTCCACGTCTGCTCTTGTCCCTGGAAAGTCTGCAAAAGGTGCAGAGGACCAAAACCTTCCTAGGGGGGTGGGCCCATTATAGGTGTGGACTTATCGCTGGGGGGAATCGGCCAGAAATAAAAGTAGTGTTGCATGTACTATTTAGTGAATAAAAGGAAAACATCTGTCATGCATATACTTACAGAACATATTTCAACCGAATGAGAATCCAAGGGATGATGTAGTTGCTGCTTATCAAAATCAGCTAGGAAATTGTCATGTAATAATATTTTCATGCAGATGTGTAAATTGTCTTTGGGAGAAGAAGTGCTCTTAGTTACAAAAAAATACCAAAATTCTTATCCTCTGAACTTTTCGTTGCTGAAACTTCACAGCTGATATATTTACCATCTAATTCATAGAGTCAAGGTTTTTGTCAGCCTATAATGTAAAATCTATGGGTGCTTTTTCTTAAAAGTTGGTTTTAAACAAGTCGTGTGAAGTGCTATGGTTACAATGATCTTGCTAAGCTTAACAGCCTTAACTGCGCATATAATGTATGATTTGCAAGTACTAACATATAACTTCTCGTTCTTTTTATTCTGCACCATCTTTCATTCTTTTCTCAAAAATGACGCATTTTTTATTAATCACCTTTGAATTACATCTTCGTCATTACCATACAATCCTAATGCCATATATGAAATGCTGCTGCCCCTATTTATCCCCACTCCGGTCCTTATGCCACCATGGTTGGACTGGCTATCACTCCCTTCCAGCAGACCCATCCCTCAGTCTTCCTCCTATCTCCTTCAACACACTTACACAGGCACAAACATGGGACAACTTTAGCTACAGTATCCCATCTGAAGGAGACAGTGACAATGGTAGGTGGTCCATATATAATTTACTTCATTTTGTGTTTTCAGAAACCTGAATATATGGCAAATGCCCCATGTGGCTAAGGAGGAAAGGCAGTACTCTTGAGGTGCTGTTTAGAAGACTAAATACCTCAGATGATACATGATAATTTACTGTGGAATATGTAATATCAAAAGTAAATAGGTGAAGAGTGTCACTGTTTTCAAGTCTGGCAAAACAGCCTTTCCCACGATACCCACTCCACGACTATTTCCAGGATAGGTTTATGTACGTGCTTTGCTTTCAAGCATTTACAGAAGTTGTACTCAAACAGCAATTAATTTTGCTACTGTCTTTTCTGCATTTTTTTTATTTATTATTTTATTGATAGATACTGACTGTTAATGAAAATAGCCTGCTCCCATCTACAGTTATTGATGCAGGTGCATAACTAAATTAGAAGAGGAATCCATGAAGAAACAAAGCTGAAACAATGAGCTAAGCAGAAGTAGTGATTTCTGTCCAACGGAAACTGTTAGTAAGCTGTTAAAGTTCTCTCTGTGTAGTGAAGGCCAGGTACATTAGTGGACTTTGTTACTGCCGCTTTTGTTTTGTTTTTCTGCAGGGTGTTATTGTCATAGTACATTGAGTCATGGCACTAATATGAAAAGTTGGCCATGTTTGGGCTATCAGGGTCTTATACTACATTAACAGTTAAATATCCAATGGAAAAAACAGAACCTAGACCTTAAACTGTTTATAGATATTTAATAAGCAGATGTATTTTTTAAAGACTAGGACTGTTGGTCCTCTAGTTGCCCTAAATTAGAAGGATGTTTAGATATTAGAAGGCAGTGAAACTGTCAAAAGCATCAGTTTGTTACCAAGACTACAAATTTTCAATTATAGATGCCAACATTTAGTTTAGAATGCCCGCATTCTTTGTTCAGTTCATTACTTGACAATACTCACTATTGCCACTGTGTTCTTCATTATGAAAAACATAAAAGACAGCGTACGTAGGAAATCAGCTCTGTAAAGTTGTTGTTGTTGTCGTCCTTTGCTTGTGCTATTCCTCGAGCAATCCTTAGACATTCTGTAGGAGAGAGGTGGCTTTGCACCGAAAGGAACGGTACCAGGGAGCAACAACCTTAACAGTGTTGATGTGTGCAGGCTAGTGCTGAGGATCCATGCTCCAGCCCTGTGTAGCTTGCTAGTAGGGGTGTAGCCTTTGATAGAAATGCTGTGCATCAGTGTCGCATCTTAATTCTTCATATCATCTTTAACGTAGCTATCTGGCAACAGCTCTGTAACAGAGGAGGCCGAGTCCAGAATTCCTGGGAGGTGATGAGGCTTGGAACAGAGAGGTCTCCCGGGACCTATGTCCATACCATCATGGAGGCTTTGGTTTAGCAAATGTCTCTGTAACAACTTCACTGTTACTTCAGTTTGGACCGAATAAATCAATCAAAGAGAAATCTAACTGTAAACTTTTAGCCTGATTTCATCTCTGCCTGTCATTAGTCCAACCTTCTTTTTGTCTATTATTTTGAGAACCAGATGAAATAATTTTGTTGTTTACCTGAAGGATAATGTTGTCAAACTAAGTACTCAGGACACTGAATTCCTTGATGAGCTATAAATAGTACACCTATGTGCATTGTAGCTCAGTGCGAAAATTAAAAATTTCACATGGAAGCTTGTCCTGGACTGTGGGATGTCGAATATATAGTGTGTTATTAACTGTTACCCATTTAACTTGTTGAGACTTGTACAAAACACTTTTCTAAAAAAGTTATTGCCTCAACCATTACATAATAACCTTGGTTGACCATGGGTTCAGAAAGGAGAAACTCACTCTTGGAAAGAGTGAAAAATAGACCTTCAGGTGTGTGAGAGATACGGGCTCCTCTTTCTGGAAAACGTGTGTAATACAGAGGACCAAGCAATACTCAGGGCTGCCAAAACTTCCTGTATTACAACATTTTTCTTTAAATTTAGTATATAAATGAAACTTTTATAACTAATGCTTTTGAGTGTGTGGGTTTTCTGCTTTGTGTTGGGTTTTAATTAATTAAACTTACTTTATTATTTTATTTAGGAACTTTTATTTGTAGTTCCCCACTGCCTTGAGATTAGCCTGCCTTTTTCCTCATGATGAAATGCATGTCTCATTCATCAATAGAAGTGAATAAGTAATGTTGATATTTACTTTTCATTAACAGATGCTTGTAGTCTGAAATAGGAAGGAAGTAGATCTTGGGACATTCATATTGACTTAGCAAAGGCCTAAACAGAGATAGCTGTGGCTAGGCTGAGTGAGGTCCATGATAATACTCTGACACTTGCAAAATTGAACATAAATATGAAGTAATGCTTTTGTAGAGAATATTTTGAAATGTTGCTGCTGCTAATAACGCTGCAGTTGCATTTAAATACCATTTAAATATGTTATTACTCTTCAGACATGGTTTTATCTAGGTGTTTCATCTGTGAGAGGCAGCAAAGCTCAGTTACTAGAGTTGTACAATGAAGTATTTCTAAAATAAAAACCTTAGAAATTGCAACTACAGTTTTTAATAAATGTGATAACAGGTTTTTATTTCACCTAAAAATTTAGGATAAATTTGATAATTGTCCAATAAATTGTTACAGAGTTACTAATGCAGAAATTTATACGTATGCCTCTCTACAATATATTGAGAAGCACCTGTCTGCTGATACAGTGTGCTTTGGAAATAGTGTTCTATCCCAAGCTTGCAGTTTGCCTTCTACAAATGCAAAGATTAAAGTCAATTCAGCTCTGGACCTATTGCACCTGAAGGCTACATCTCTGCTACTCTCATGTTAGGCGTGGGAGGTCAGCATAATGAATGTTTTTGATGTGTGCAGCTGTGTGTAGATCTTTGATTGGTGACACTGGTGAAGCTACGTAGTCCACCTGGAGAAGGTAGCTGACCTGCGGTCAGTATCTGTAGTTCTCAGTCCTGCACGTTCTCTACAGGACACTCTCCCACCCTGCCAGTGGGATTTCTGCTGACATTAAAAAGGCTAGAGTTTATTAACATAAAACTGTAATATTTAGGTGTTCTATTTAAAAGCAGTTTTGTTTAACAAATAGCCTTTAATATGGCATTTCCTAAAATTACTGATTTAATAGCGGTGTAGAAAATTTCATTTGCTGGTGAAAAATTAAAACTGTGACTGTGCAAGTCAAGTAGTGTAAGGAAGCAAATTTGGTAACTGGCTGTAGTTTATTCCGTCTTGATCCCTCAGATAAGTAGGCGAAGGACATGTAAGGAGTTTGCTGCCTTAAGCTCTGTTTTTTGGTAAATAAAGGAAAGTACTATTTCCTGTTAACTTTCATAGGTGGTATCTGTCTGTCCCTTTGGCTGGAGAAGTAGTTTTGGTTCATTAACAAAATTAATAACCTACAGTACAGTTGGGAGATTCCTGATGACTGGATTTGTCTGAGATTTCAAATTATTTCTTGTGCAGAAACTCTGTCTTGTTTATCCAATCCCTAAATGTCAGTGGGTACGGTTTTCAATGTTGACCCTGAACTGATTTGGAGGACTTCATTAACAGTTTACTTTTGGTCAGCATGCAGATGAAATTTCCTTCTACCAAGGGTTCAAAGTTTTATTTCGTTAGATAGTGTGAGGACTGATTTTTAAAATTCAGCCTCTTGTGCAAATCACAACCTCAATAAAATGACTGACGTGCCACAATTTTTAATGGAACTTCCGAATTACTGTGATTTAAACCCATGTGTACCTTTCTTAGTCAGGAGTAGTTCATCCTTTTTTACTCCTCTAGTAGGTACTAGTGGCAATTCATATACTTAGACTTCTGTGATGTGCCTTTTTGGAAACAGAAGGCTCCTCTCTTCTATTGTTACTTATTGACCCAGAAATTATCCTCTCTCTTTAACGGCCCTAAATTAACAACATTGAGACTTGAGCAGTAGCTGTATGTAAAAACAGTGGTTTCTAGGCTTTCTACTTTCCACCCCATTAACTCACAGGTTTCTTAGGGTTTCACGTTGCATTCAGGAGAGAGATGGGAAAGTAATAATACAAAACTTCCTTCTTTTAAGCAGTATCATCTTCCGTAACAATCAAGTTGGCCTATAATGTGCGTGGCAAACAGATGACAGTTGCGTTTTGAGCTTACATCTGCTTGTTCTTCTGAATCATTCGAAACAGGCATTGATCACACAAAAAAGGAAGTCTAGGGGTGCATATATGCAGAGGTTTCATGTAATTATTTCAGTGAACTATACGTGGGCAGTGATACAGTTGAGAGGATTGGTGGGGGGGAGTACTGTGAAGAGTTCCTATGCAATACAACCTTTTAATATAGGCAGACTTACTGAATGGCTAAGTCTGCCTACATTAGTCTTTCTTTGGTGGGTGGATTTTTATTTTCTTTTAATATAACCTTATCCAGTAAGCAGTTTGTCCTTTGTAGGAAGGTGCTTGTCACATCTTGTTACACAATTCAGCATCCTTTAAGTAGAACCCTCTCTTACAAGTGTAAGAGGTGTTTCCTGCCATGTTAAATACAGTTCTGTAGAGATCAGAATCTCTAAGGGACAGTGCTGGTGCTTAATCGTCTGACAAAATTTGCCTGCTGAGATTAGGATTCGGTTGAAAAATTATCTACTCTGTTGATGGTGCAGGATGCTGTTCAGAACCACATCCAAAAAATATCCACTTCTGATTGTAAGCCAAGATCAGATTTTCCTGTCCTCTTGAGGACAGAGAAATTTTCTAACCATTTTTGCTGGAGGCAGTGCCTAAGGATTTTGCTTCATCTAGAAATTAATAAATCAAGGTGTTTATTTTTAAACTAAAATCTATCTTTTTTAAAATCATAGTGTTCTTAAGACCACAAAGAAATTTGGAATCAATAGACCCACAATTTACAATTCGAAGGAAAATGGAGCAGATGAGAGAAGAGAGAGAGCTTGTGGAACAGCTACGTGAGGTATGTGAGTGTTTGTAGAATTAGTTTGTGCTAATGGATTGTATTTTTAAATTTTTCTTTGGGAAAGTTGTCTAAGAAGGATAATATTAAAAAGGTTAAATGAGGCAATATTACTTCTTCAAATCGCATTGATAGGACTATTCCTGAAGTGCTTTATCACGGTCAGATTTCTGTAGTTCAGGAAAAGTTTTGTCAAAATGGGAAATAATAATGAGAGTTACCTGAATGACATATGATAAAACAGCATGCCTTGCACTGGTGGAATTAATTTGATTTCATCAGAAAGGATGAAGTGATCACTTAAGAGATAGAGAGGCCTAGAAACTATTTCCTAACAGCTGGAGAAGTGTTCCATCTAGTAAGTAAAAGTCATAATGAAATTAATTAAATCTGTTAGTTAAAGCTGAAGTTAGAAGCTTTTTTTTAAAAAAGCAAATAGCTAATGCTTGAAACATCTTTCTTAGAAATTAAATTAACATTTCATGACTTGAAGATCTGAATATACAAGATGGTTTCCAGATATATTGTCTTGAATATAGAAGCTACACCCTGATGTGAAAATTGCTGCATGTGGTTGCATAGGGTCTGGGTTGCACAGCTCATACATAGGTAGCACTGCTTGTGACACCTATTTGTATTGGGGAAAGAAAAAAAAAAAAAAAAAAAAAGGTGGCAACCTCTGCTGCGAGAAGTGCTGTGAGCCTGAGCCTGTCAAGGTTTCCAGTCATATCATGTATCATGTTACCAACAGAAGAGATGGCATTGATGCACTCCTTAAACTGAGTGCAAGTCCTGGAAGTGTGGTAGGTGACTGATATTGCAACTGTATTACAAGATTATTTGTTCCTATGTCATTAGCTTTATGGGATGAGTAATTCCAGAGTTATTCGTTTATTTTAAATAACGTGTCTTGTATTATTTAATTTTAAACAAGAGGGTTTACGTATTTTCTCTTTACAAAATGGTATTTATAAGGCGGCTTGTTTAATGTTGAACTATGAGGACTTTTAGATCTTCATTCTCTTACCTCGTGCCCTCACCTGTTTTAAGTCTGGACTAATCTTCCTTTGTCTCGCTGAATCTTTGAACAGAACAGATCTTGCTGAAGATTCAGCATAATTGATTGAATGTAGTAGATTGGTAATTCTAAACTTGGATGATGCCAAAAGGATGAGATGCAGGTATTAGATGAGACTCACTCCCTGGAAGTGGAGAAAATGGAAGTAGCAGTAATAAACTGAACTAGAGTGTAGTTCTTCTGAGCATAGTCTAGTCAGCAGCATCAATGCAGGTTTTTACATTTCTTTTAACAGTTACCACAAGTATGTAGTAAGTACCCAGGTAACTGTTTCTAAAAAATAGTGTCCTCAAGGTTCCTGCTTTGTGCATTAGTTGGGGTAATCCTCACAGTGAAAAGCAGAAGAAGGTTATTCACCATATCAGGCATGATCATGGAGACTTAATAAGGCTTTCTCCACACTGTATTAATATTAGGTATTAGCAGTAATACTGGTTTAATGTGTTATTGACCTTCAGTTCCATGCACGGTTGTTCTTTGCACTCACCCTGAAGCACTGTATCCTGAAATGAAAATTGGGTTGTCTCTTGTGAGAAACTTGATTACAAGTCAAGGAGTGGTGACAGAATCTAGAAGATTGGCCCTGTTTGGAAGCACACAGTGAGATTTTTCATACTAATAAAGTTTACTCTGGTATACTGGGTACTTTAGTGAGAGAAGTTACCTCCAGACCATCTCATTATGTACTGTACAAGAAAAAAGGCCAGAACATGTAAGTCACTAAGTTTATACTTACTGAATAAACATATCTATTAGTATACTTTGCTTTTCAGTTGTTCCATGGTATGCTAGAATTTAGGGAGACTCCACAGAACCTGCCGCCTTAACCAGGCTGGGCACTAAACAAGAAGGAACAACTATTACAGGACTCAGGTTCCTTATTTAGAAATCTAGATGCAGTTACCTTTAGTTCAACCACTTCACCTGGGCCACATATTGTGAGAACGCTGGTGTTTCTTCCATACATTACCCCCTTTTCTTTAGTATGGTGTGTTTTTACAGAAACTGTTCCATTTCATAAAACTTCTCGCTGCAGAGACATGCTTACTTTTCCGATTTGGTTTCATATACATCCATGGTCACTTCAGACAGTTGTCATCTCAGGAGTGTTTTGCCACTTACACGTGAGCAATAGAGTCTAGCAAGAAATACTGGTTGATTTTTGTCACTCAAAGGGTAAACATTTAATAGTTTTGACGTGCTAAGTGGAACAAATTGTCTGCTGCTGTAGTATGGATGATTTTTGAAAAAGAGAGCAGTTCTTCATTGGTGTCAAAATTGAAAGAGAATTGATCCACTTCTTGAAGTCTTTAATTTTAATTAAATCTAGTCTCAAGCCATGAACTCCAACAGAAAATGGCATTGAATTAGTGTTGTAGGTGTGCTGTGCTCATAAAAAAAAAAATGCACCTTGTGTTGTGATTTGGGCCTGATCGGCAACCAACCCCTGCAGCTAATGACCCTCCCTTCCCCCTCCCCACCTGGGAATGGGGCAGGGGATTGGAGGGGTGAAGGGAGACTCGCAGGCTGAGATAAGAACAGTTTCATAATGGCAATAAAATGAGAAAAATAACGATGATAGGGGGAAAACAAAAAGAAATAACCAGGCAATGTACAGCGTAATTGCTCCCCACCCGCTGACCAATACCTGGCCCGTTCCCGGCCAGTGACCCCGAGATACCAAGATCCCACAATCACAATTCTGGAAGCAAGAGAGAGAGCTCCTTCCCAGCCACCCCTCCTCTGTATAGTGAGCATGACGTTCCATGATATGGAATATTTCACTGGCCAGTTTGGGTCTGGTGCTCTGTCCGTGCTCCCCCCCTGCTCCCAGTGCCCTTGCCCACGGGCAGGACATGGGGAGTCGGAGAGTCCTTGAAGTCTCAGTAGCAGCTGAAAACACCAGTGTGCTATCAGCATTCTTCTCATACCAAACCCAATGCTGAATCTAAAACACAGCACTCATCTAGTCCCTGAAAAGGAATATTAACTCTATTTCAGCCCAAAGTAAGACACCTTGATCGATACTGAACAGTCTTCCAACAGGCAAATCAGTGTTTTAAGAGAAATTAATTAATTTATATAAACCTGTTTGTAACAGATTTGGAAAAAAGTCTCAAAATGTATTCTTTCTGTACGTATCTCATATACCAAAAGTGGTTTTGAATTTATTAATTAATTCAAGATGAAAGCAAAATATTATATTAGTGCACGTGATGCACTCCCCCATTTGGCACTGGTGATCCCATACATGTGAGTACTCGAGTTGTGCGTCTAATCAAAGAAGACTGGGAAAATATAATGAAGACTCAGAGTGAGTTCAGTGGAAGCAGCTTCATGGTGAGGGCACCCAAACAAAGGATGTGTGAAGAACGTAAAAGCTGGATTTCTTCAGCTTGGAGAAGACAGTGCTGAGGATATCATCTGACTGTCCTCAGCTGCCTGAAGGGTAGTAATAGTGAAGATAAAGCCAGGCTTTTCAAAGATGCCTAGTGAAAGAATGAGAGGCATTGGCACAAATTGCAGAGAAAGAAAATTCAAGTAGCTATAAGGAGAAAATTCTTTGCGGTAAGGGTGGTGAAACACTGAACAAGGTTACCTGAAGATTTTGTGGGATTTCCTTCCTTGCAGATATCCAGAACTTAACTAATCAAGGCTCTGATTTCACTTCAAATTTGTTAGACCAGGTGACCTTCAGAAATCCCTTCCAACCTAGACTCTCATTTGATTCTAAAGGGAATAATCTATTTTCATCTAAAATACCCAGTATAGATGGAGGTAATGTATTAATAGAGAGTAATGACTTTAAGGATGTTCAACTAAGAGTAAGAAGTATCTATTTTAAGAGAATGGAATTATCTCTGAGAATTAATCTAACAGTTCTAAATGTAGCGTTGGAAAGGTTTTAAGATCAGAGCGCAATTTAGGAAACTCATCATATGTAACAGTCTTATTGTAGGTTTTTTTTTTTTTTTTTCTGGAACATTCTAAAATATTTTCATAGTATTGTATTTTACAATATCAAATTCTTTTCAGTGAGACTTCAGTTCTACTTAACAGGTATCCAAAAATACTCTTTTAAATCTGAATGTTTTGCCTTGCCTTACCTGTCTTTCTGATCACTAATGATTCTTATTTAACTTTTAAGCTGCTAGGGAAAGATCGCCTTTTACTCTCTGCTTGTACAGTGATTAACACAATGTAGTTCTGATTTGAAGTGCTGATGATAAAGAAAATTTGAGATGGATAAGTAGAAGACTTGGGGGAATGGTGAAAGGAAGGAGCCACATGTAGTGCAATCACTTGGCTAAGTACATGCATATGTGTTTTTATATGCATATATAAAAATAAACGCACCTTATGACAGCAGCATTTGAAGTGTTGCATTTTTAAAAGAAGTTCATGTGATTTCAGTGACCAACATAGGAAAGAAGAGGATGGTTTTTAGGTTTTAAAGAATTAGTTGCATAAAGGAAGTGTGTTTCTTGGTAAACCAAAAATGGCTGTGTGTCTATAGCATAGAAGATGAGGATATATATTCCTTTTTTCCCCCCCTTCATCCATTTCTATATTAAAGTGTGCATGTATTCTCCATTCGCAGAACATTGAAACAAGACTAAAGATTTGTTTACCTGAAGACTTGGGGTCTGCTCTGATGGATGGTGTAGTTCTCTGCCATTTAGTAAATCACGTTCGTCCTCGGTCTGTAGGAAGTATTCATGTACCTTCACCAGCAGTAGTAAGTTGGATGTTTCTTGTTGCGTTGGGGTGGGTGGGGGAGGAATATTTAAAAAATTACTGGTTTATTGCCAAATGATATTTGGCTACATAAACCACGTTGCTGTTCAATTAATGTTCTTTACAATTAGGGGCAACATTGACACGATTACAAATTCAAATGTTCATTAATTTTGTATATATACACATATCTATAAGTGAGTAAAATTATCCCTGTTTCTGATCTAGCAACAGATCAGATTTTTTTTCATACTGGCCTTTTTGTTCAGTACATTATGAAATTCTATGATTATAAGACTTTGTTCCAGGAGACCCTTTTTAAAAGAAAATTAGCCCCTTGTTTGTTGATTGAAAAAAAATATGAGTTCACTTTAGCAATGTCTGGTTTAGCAAATGTCATGTTACTAAAGCACTTAGAGCACCTATTAGCATATTCTTCCTATTCAGTTAAATGTAGAAATTTATTTCTTTTACCTGCAGACGGAATGGAATAGAAACATGCACTGTAGTGGTTTAGTATTGGCTTGCAAAATCTAAGGACCTGAAGATTGCAGGACACAAAATTGTTGTAATCTCTGTATGCATTTCTTGAAACATAATTTTCTTAGCGTTTTCTCTGTTTATTGATGCCGCCTTCTGGGATAGATCGTTGTTCCAGATTTCTGATACCAGTCGGGTTCTGAGGAGGTTTCGTATGTTTTTAGACTGTCTGCATTTTTTTTTTTTTTTTTAATATACACGTTGGTAAAAGTTTGCCGTGTAAAGGCTGGTACTCAATTCTGAGAATAGTATGTGGATTTCAGAGGCAATTTCTAAGAACTTCCAAGAAGATAGATCTTAAGAAAAAGACATTTTCTGTGAGGGGCTAGTGGAGTTTCTTTTGCTGTTGCTTGAATTTTAATTACTTCTGTCCTTAGTAAAAGTATGACATTGCCGAAATGCAAACTTGAATTTCTGGGACAAAAACTAAAGTTTTGTTGCTGATTTATTTTATTTTTCTTAAGATAACATCTGGTGGTGATCTCTATAAGGACAAGCAAGTATTTTAAATACATTTTCATTTTGATGACCTATTTTGATAATATATCAATATTGATATATTGATGATGTTTTCTTGCTTGAAACAGCCTTCAAATTACTTTAACAGTATCAGTGCAATAGGTGAATTGACTGAATGGATGTTTTTGCCTTCTTTTGCCATAAACTATTATTTCTTGTTTTCACAGCCTAAACTTAGCATGGCCAAATGCAGGAGAAATGTGGAAAACTTTCTGGATGCATGTAGAAAACTAGGGATACCAGAGGTAATTTAATTAAGTCTGTCATTTCTAGATGACCAAAAATGCAAAACACATTAAATGCTTTAAAGCTGATTGATAACTTTATGAAATACAGTTTTTCAGCAATAGAGACATATAATTTAAAAAAATGATCTAAGTAATGTGATTTAATACTAATTTAGTGCATTTAAGTGGCTTATGTCATAGTACCTAAAAATGGCAACTTCTGTCTTAAATTATTAATTCAGTATTATCCCCTATACCTCCTTATCTTTGCCATGAAAATTAAATAAGGAATATGGTAATTAGGTAATACATAATATGTAATTAGACCAAAGTTAACCGATTTTTTTCGTTTTACAACATAACTGCATTTTTACCTATGGCTTTTAGAATATGGACTTAATTCTTTTTAACTATTGATTTTCCTTTTTTTACAATTTTAAGTACTCTATCGTATGCATTGTAAAAGTGACTAATAACACACTCATCTCTTGTACTGAAACACTTCTGGAGTGATGTGACAAAAACCATTGCATGTTATGTATGGAATGTACGTATGAGTAAGGTTCTAGAATGTCGATGTAAGTGTTCCAGAAGTTGGAAATAGGGAAATTGCAGTGCTTGGATGTTTTCTGCTTTTCATTTAAGAATGGTAGCATTCATCATGTAATTTATTCTTATATTAATAAGGAAAAATATTTTTATAACTACTAATATAATAAATTCTGGAGTTGCATTGGGAATATGTCAAAGATTCTCTTATGGTCTAGAAGTACCTGTTAAGAAAAAGTTACTTTCAAATACATGACCCTCGACAGAAGGTAAAAGTGTTATACAAGGTCTTTTTAATGTGAACACGTGGAAATTGCGTGATGTATTTTCACCGTTGCCTACATATGACAGTATAATGAAGACAGAGTTCTTTTTGGTCTGTGTTGCAAGAATGCTGAAACAAAAGGATATTTTGTGTGTATCTCCCCCCACCACAACCTTGGGGAGCAGTTGGTAATGCAACGATTTCACATTGGGAATGAATCCAGTTTGAATTCTTTATATTTTATCTGTGCTTTAGCACTTGATTTAGAGGACAGCAAAATAACAGATCGTTTTTGCTATTTGTAGGAATTTTGAGGGGGAGCCTTTATCTTGCAGCTCCAATGAATGGCTCACCATAAGTTTAATTTGAGAATACGGTGTAATGGGCTGGGTCTCTAAGTCGTGCTGGTTGATCTAGTTGTTGTAATTATGTAATTTATTATGTGGATCTCACACGTAGTGTTTGTTAAGCTGCCCCAAAATTGATTGTCTTATGATGCATCATAAATTATTCAGTGAAGTGGAATACAAGTCGGGTTTTTCTGGATATAGCCTACTGGGAAGGAAAAGGCCAAGCTCTGTTTTCACTGTTGTCAAGAGAACTTTCAGAAGTAGAAACAGAAGAGAAATATTTAAAAGATCCTTGCAGTGACATATTACTGATGTCCCTTACGCAGAGGTTTTTATTTTGGATTTCTAGAAGTAAGCTTTCTGGAAAAATACCGTTATGTTTTTTGTGAATAGACATTTTCATATATTTATTACCTCCCCCCCCCTTTAATTCCATAGAAATTAGTGTAGAATTTTTTAGGATTTTTTTTTTTCTAATTATTATTTTATTAAAGTACCTTTGTTGCAGAGTTGCACAGAGCCTTAAGCGCACGGCCAGATCTTACCAATCTGATTTATGAACTAAGGGTCCTTATGAATCTAAATAAGCATTCTCTTGAGGGAAAAATCTCCTTCACTTAAACTTTAAATGAATGGCTTGCAATTGTAAAATTATGATGGTTTTTAAGTACACTGAGGATATTCTTTTTGATTACCTGTCGGTAATTTGCAAATATGTATGTTTATATTGTGAGAATCCATCGTGTTGCAGAGCTAGCTGGCAGATGATAGAACTTCGCTGTGTGTTGGAGGGATGTGTATTAGGAATACAAAGTTGTACGATAGCAAGTATGACAGTCAACTGTCAGAGTTTTTAAAGAACTACAGATGGTGTGTTTAATGCTGCTTCGGGTCGGTGAGTTGAATGTTGCCCAACTCTCTCTGGACAAACCAGTAAAAGGAATGCAGTGAATTATTTCCTTTTTAAAAAGCAAGCATCTTAGGGAAAGTGATAGGTTCCACTTATACCCATAGGTGTTATGCTTTTCCGTGATACCTATGTCCACCTCTAGTTCCTGAGAATTAACGTGAAATTCTGCTACATGTTTGGTTGTTTTTTTTTTTTTTTTTTTTTTAAGGATTTAAAATCGTCATAGTTCCTGTTGGTTTGCTTTCAGTTACTTATGGAATGAAACAGAGTATATGCTATTTCCTGAACTCCACATGCTTAGAATAATATCCTGTCAAATCATGTAAAATGAAAACAAGAAAATAGCTAAGTAATTACTGTTATGCTGGTGTGCATGGTCTCTTATTTCTTTGGCTTTCAGCATTCAGATCTTGGGTCAAAATTGCTTTCCCCAGAATGATCCTGCAAGACTTCATCCAAGCGCAGAAAAATGCAGTTGACATCCATGTCCCAATGTGTCATAATAACCATCGGGAGATGGTCTCTTGACCAAAGAATCACAAATACAAAATTCAGGAACGTGAACATCTTATAATGACCTGGCATGTAGGTGATTCTGAAAACCATTACCTGCCAGATGAGAGTTTCAGTCCAATGGGTGACCTGTTGAAATCCCTTTCTGTTAATGGCCATATGATGCTCCTGGTCATATGCAGAAGGGACATGCTGGATCATATGCAAAAGGGATGTTTTAAGCGTATGGCTCTGAACCTTTAATAAGAAAATAATTAGCAAGGCGCTTACTGCACCAGTAGACTATCAAAAGTGTGAGAATTGTTGGACGATCAACTCATGTCCAGTTTTGCCACTGACTTTTCCCGTAGAGCCTTATCAGAGATCTTGGTAAATGATCATTTCCTGACACAAACCAAAATTTTTGTTTGCTGTAAGAAAAGGATGGTGGCAGGTAAGCATCTGAAAGCCTGAAGAGTCAGAAAATGTGTGCCGTGCCCCTCAGGAGGTATAGAACAGAAAAGGTACAATTTTTGTCACCTAGGTCCAAAAGAAGGACTAATTTTACACTATGAATTAAAAACTGCCAAATTGCCTCATCTCCTCTGCAATAGCGATAGAATGACAAACACTTCCACTTCTTGGCTGATCCAGATTGAATAAGCAAGTGGCAGGAGATGTGTGAGGAGCAGGGGGGGCCTCTCCTACTGCATTTTTCGGGGTGGCACACAGTGCCCGCGCGGCGCTGTTCACTGGAGCGGATTGGTAAGGCCCCGTGGACCCGCTACTGGTGCCACCTGTCTCTAATGCTCTGCCCAGGCCCCCTGTATCGCCCCCACCCTCTCACAGATTTTTGGATTTAAAGAAGAAAGCTAGCGGGAGTTTATTTTTCTTGGTGTGTAAGTGTGGCCTCCAAAGTGTCAAACACACCAGTTCTAATGCAATTTTACTCTTCTTGGTGACATCTCATGCCAGAGGTATGAGAAATGATCAGGAGAGTCTGAATTATCATCACATGAGTATGTATGTAAAGTTATGGAAGTATTTTGGTTTCAGCTGCTCTTTCATAAAACCAGTAACAATATATGTAAATAAATACAAAGATATTCAAACACATTTCTTCAATTTGTCAGTTGCCACATTCGAATCAGCATTGATACTCGTAGCGAAGAAGACTTTCCCATTTTGAACTGCAAATCAGTAACTTAAGCTTTAGCTTTCATTCTTGGTAGCTGTTTTTCTTGGTGATCCATATTACAGAGCATTTTTTCGTATGCACTTTCAGTAATGTTAACAAATATTCCTGTCAAAAGGAAAAAATAACTGATCTGTGGTGAGCTGAATGGTAGATGCTTCATTACAAGTGAGATTCAGACCAAAAAAAAGCTGTAAATGCAATATGTTGTTTGAAAGGTCAAGTGACAAGTTTGGTCTGCATTTCTTCTAGTCCTCAATTATGAACAAATATGACGCATCAGAAGTGGGACCTTCTAAGCATTTTGTCAAAAAAGAACTGAACAGAGTATTTTCGATGTTGGTGTGGCAAAATGCAGAAGTTATCTTTTTACAAAGCCGCAAATTAATTTTTATGATCTGCAACTTACATTAATGTAATATCCTGACAGTTTAGGCACTTGAGCATCTTTCGGCCCTTTATGAGACTTCTTCAGGTCAAAGAAATTGGATGGGGTTATTTTTAAAAACAGAAAGAAATGCTTTCCCCGCGTACACAGATACACCTTGTCAATTTTCCTATAGATTGAAGAAAAGATAGACTTAAGTTATCGTGATTAATACTAAAAGTGTAATTTCTGTTGGTAAAAGGTAGCGATAAAATGAAATTTTTCAGAGCCAGTTGTAACAGCAGGTTGTTTGAGCTTCTCTGCTCCGACACGTCAGTAGTGGTGCAGCACGGCTTAGCAGGACAAGCTACTTCTTGGGTGGGGATGAGAGACCTCTGCCATGTCGCTCAACTTTTCAGTCAACCACTTGGTGTGCACATACTGAAGAGAAAGGAGTGTGATGGTAAGAAGTGGCTTGTTGGATCTTTTATGAAGGTTCAGACTCCAAAATGCTTAGCTGTGCCTCTTCCTGTGACTTTTGAATCCTGCAAACGGGAGGTGTTACTGCCTCTCACCTCCTCTGCTGAGAACTAGGGCCACTACGTTGCAGTGTCAGCCAAAATTATTCTAAAAATCAATATGATTAGTGTAGGAATTGCTAATTAAGTAAAACAAAACAAAACAAAAAAAAAAATGGAGACTTTTGTATGATGAAACTGGCAGAACAAAGTAAAAGAAGCAACCAGGCAGAGTGTATCAAGTGTTTTATCTTCCCTCCACCTCTCAGTTGTTCAACCGGTAATTATGTTTCTCAGTGTAATTCAAGGTATATTTTCCTTACCACTTTTGCTTGTTTTCTGATCGATTCACATTCTCAGTTACTTCTCCCT